AGACAACAAGGTGCAGGGCTGGATGAACACAGCAGGCCAAGCAGCATCATAGGAGCAGAGAGGCTGACGTTTCGGGCCTAGACCCTTCATCAGAAAAGGGGGAGGGGAAGGGGGTTTTGAAATAAATAGGGAGAGAGTGGGAGGCGGATAGAAGAGGGATAGAGGAGAGGATAGGTGGAGAGGAAACAAACAGGTCGAAGAGGCGGGGATGGGGCCAGGAAAGGTGAGTGTAGGTAGGGAGTTAGGAAGGGGATAGGTCAGTCCAGGGAGGACGGACAGGTCAAGGGGGTGGGATGAGGTTGGTCGGTAGGAGATGGAGGTGCGGCTTGGGGTGGGAGGAGGGGATAGGTGGGAGGAAGAACAGGTTAGGGAGGCAGGGACGAGCTGGACTGGTTTTGGGATGCGGTAGGGGGAGGGGAGATTTTGAAACTTGTGAAATCCACATTGATACCATTGGGCTGCAGGGTTCCCAAGCGGAATATGAGTTGCTGTTCCTGCAACCTTCGGGTGGCATCGTTGTGGCACTGCAGGAGGCCCAGGATGGACATGTCGTCTGAGGAATGGGAGGGGGAGTTGAAATGGTTCGCGACTGGGAGGTGCAGTTGTTTGTTGCGAACCGAGCGTAGGTGTTCTGCAAAGCGGTCCCCGAGTCTCCGCTTGGTTTCCCCGATGTAGAGGAAGCCACACCGGGTACAGCGGATGCAGTATACCACATTGGCAGATGTGCAGGTGAACATCTGCTTGATGTGGAAAGTCTTCTTGGGGCCTGGGATGGGGGTGAGGGAGGAGGTATGGGGGCAGGTGTAGCACTTCCTGCGGTTGCAGGGAAAAGTGCCGGGTGTGGTGGAGCTGGAGGGGAGTGTGGAGCGGACAAGGGAGTCACGGAGAGAGTTGTCCCTCCGGAAAGCAGATAAGGGTGGGGAGGGAAAGATGTCTTTGGTGGTGGGGTCGGATTGCAGATGGCGGAAGTGTCGGAGGATGATGCGTTGGATCCGGAGGTTGGTGGGGTGGTACGTGAGGACGAGGGGGATTCTTTTTTGGTTTTTATTGCGTGGACGGGGTGTGAGGGATGAGGTGCGGGAGATGTGGGAGACACGGTTGAGGGCGTTCTCGACCACCGAGGAGGGGAAGTTACGGTCCTTGAAAAACGAGGACAACTGAGATGTACGGGAGTGGAATGCCTCATCCTGGGAGCAGATGCGGCGGAGGCGAAGGAATTGGGAATAGGGGATAGCATTTTTGCAGGAAGGTGGGTGGGAGGAGGAGTATTCTAGGTAGCTGTGGGAGTCGGTGGGCTTGAAATGAATATCGGTTTCTAGGTGGTTGCCCGATATGGAGACAGAGAGGTCCAGGAAGGGGAGAGAGGTGTTAGAGATGGTCCAGGTAAACTTAAGGTTGGGGTGGAAGGTGTTAGTGAAGTGTATGAACTGTTCGAGCTCCTCGAACATAAAACACAAGGCCAGTTAACACACAGAAATGCTATCACTTCCAAGTCACATACCATCCTGACCTGGGACTCTACCATTGTGCCTTCGGTGCCAATGGGTCACATTCTGGATCTCCCTTCCAAATAGCACTGTGGGTGTTTCCACAACACATGGAATGTGGTAGTTCACAAAGCCAGCTCAGTGCTGCATTCTAATGGTCAAATAACAATGGGCAATAAATGCTGGATCCTTTAGGGAAACTGAAATTCCTCGAAATAAATTACTACAGTCTATTTCATAGAATCATAGAATCCCTAGTGTGGAAATACGTCAGTCGGCCCATCAAGTCCACACCGACCCTCCGAAGAGCATCCCATCCAGACCCACCCCCCTATCCTATCCCTGTAATCCTGCATTTCCCATGGCTAATCCATCTCGCCTGCACATCCCTGGACACTTGGGGCAATATAGTATGGCCAATGCACCCAACCAGCACATCTTTCAACTGTGAGAGGAAACCAAAGCATCCAGAGGAACTCCACACTGACACAGGGAGAATGTGCAAACTCGACACAGACAGTCGCCCGAGGATGGAATTGAACCCGGGTCCCCGGTGCTGTGAGGCAGCAGTGCTAACCACTGAGTTTCTATCTACAGTGTTCAAACCTTTCATTACTTCACACATTGCAAAAATAACTTACCCTTCCAAAGTATTTCAATGGCTGTAAAACACTTTGGGACATACAGCAGATGTGATTGGTGCTGCACAAATGTATGTTTTTCTTTTTATATATCTGTATTAAGATCTCCCTATTCTAATGAATACAACCCCAGTTTTTTCCAGGGGCAATTTGGAAAAGATACAGCTACCTGCAAACTACAATTAAGAAAATTGTCCATCAATAGTTTAGAAGCCTAGTAGAATCAAGTTCTGTGGATTTTCAGTATCAGGAACTTAACTATTAAAATAAAACAAAGAACTGTGGACGCTGGAAATCTGAAACTTCACTTGTGTGATATCAATGCCAATCACTAACTTTGGGATTGCATGCTTCTGCAGGCCATGCAATCTTTTCTGTCACTGTACCAACTCATTTTTATTTTGACTTCTAAGCTCTCTTTAAACCCAAGCATTTGAATGTCAGAACCTTTTTGAGGAAGATGTTCTGAGAGTAAAGGCTTTTACATTTTCACCATACAGCATTCAAAAACCACTGGTGGAAAATATTTTGCAAACGAATTGGGAGGTGTAATTGAATAAAAATCAGCACTTCCCTGAGACAGCATGTTGTCACATTGCCCTAGAAACCATAATTACAAAATAGTGATAATAAGATTTGGCAAGGTGAAGCAGGAAAGAAATTGACTTCTAAAAGACACGAGGGCTTTGGGGCTGATCGATAAAATTGTAAATTGTTCACTTAGAAGTCACAGAACCATCTTGTCTTGGATCCAAAAACTGATAAGTTTGCCAGAAATTGTAAGTAAACAGATTTGCTGTGTTTACATTATAAATGGAGAAATTGAAAGAAAATGACTGAAAACATGTTTGCAAGCATCTTTACAACAATCTGACTTTACTTTAGGTAGGAGAAGTAACATTGAGATTAAGTAATATATATTGTATTATTCAAGTGTGGTAGGAAATCATGTAAATAAGATCGCATGGTAAAAATCTCAAGATATTCAATTCAAACATTTTCAAAGAGCACTGGAACCACTGACGTGGTATTGGATTCAATGTATATGAAAGAAACCCAGCAATAAGGAACTTTGCATGCATACAGAACAGCAAAACAAATTGAAACCCCCTTATTCTACGGGCTAGTAAAAGTATATGTGCATTGAAAGTCTGATCAACAAATTACAAGGTAACATATTTATACATTGCGGTAGCGCAAACATTTTACGTGCTGTGGCTGCTAAAGCAGCTCAGAGTGATGCTCTTCAGATTCCTGAAACTCCTCTACCACTTCCATGGCACAAGTGAAGCATTGGGATGGAATATCCTATGCCAGCTGAGCTCCAGCAACACTCAACAAGCTTGACACCGTCTATGGCAAAACACTCCATTTGCTCAGCAGCTCATCCAATTAGCTAAACATCCATAATGGGGTACTTTGGCTTCACTGTAACCTAAAACTTGCCAAAGCTTCTATACGAGCACATTCCCAAGTCAATGACCTTCACCCATCAGTTGGACAATTACAGAAGGTGTGTGTGATTGGCATGACTTCCAAATAGCACATCATATTGGCTTGGACATCCATTACCCATCACTGGGTGAAAATCCTGGAAATCCTTACTAGCCAGGATTATGGGAGCACCTTCACTACAGCCAACAAAACCCATATCCTCAGAATGAATTGTAAAAACAGCATGTTTTAAAATCTCTAAGTTCTGGTATGCCATGTAATTTTAGTTTGTAATGGGTGTGACTTTAAAGGGTACTAAAGTCTACTTCATCAAGAAAGTCTTAGCTGGGAACTGATAAAATATATTAATCTTCACATTAATATGTTTCAGTACATTTCACATTAATACTTTCTGGTTCTTTTTGTATTTATTCAGGAGCCTGAACAACTGTACGATGGAATAACCTTTGATGACTTCCTTAAGGTTTGTATTAGCTTATCCTAAAAACAAACAAAGTGAAAGCAGTTCTAATGCAGAACTGAGAATATAATATTGTGAAATTGGACTCTGCAAATGACTGATAATGGGTTCTAGGCAACTGCTAGGTTAACCAGTTTTGTTAGTTTCATTTCACACAATGATGCTAAATATACATGTTGTTGCAACATTCAGGTATTCAAATATCAGGATCAGTTGTATGACTGTGATCTTAACCCTAAACTACTGAGATAATTTAAAACGTAAACAGCTGTTGGCATGGTCTCTTCCTTATCATACTTTTTCACTTTCTTGTGTTTTAACAATTTTCCTTATGATGTCAAACATTTATTCTTTAACTTTAAACTGTTTTCACTTAGTTTTTTCTTCTGTCTTCTTGTTCTTACCAGCCGGAGTTTTAAAAAACGCTTTTAGTAGAAAAGCAACCAACATAAAAGCTAAACTGTGAAGATAGAGATGGTCATGTCCTGAGCAAAATTAACAAAATGCAATGGTGATGAATGAATTTCTTGGAGAGCCCTGAAATTTAGATAAACAACATTTCCCATTAAGTTCAAAGTTAAATAGTTTAGATACCAGTGCACAATGTTTCACTGAAAACCTGTTTTATGAATTGAAACTGAAGCATTTCTAAAGCACATTTAATAAATAAATGAGATAATTCGCTTCGTCATTCACAGTAAGTTGGAGGTAAACGACTATTTTATATAACTATAATGTTCGACCATGTGTAATAGAAAAATAAAGTGTTTATATCCTAAAAGCCTCCTCCAAAATGCGTAAAGTGCAGGCTTGAGAAAAGCAGTCAATTGCGAAAACAAATGTTATCAAAATGACCTCCCCAGTTAAAGACCAGAGTTCACTCCTGGCGGAAACCATTTCCTATTTGTATCCATCTATTTGGCCCTAAGATTAACTCAGTCAAAGCTGCCATTGACATCCCTTACGGTTGCAACCGTGCCAATTTATCTGTGTCCTCCTCAATCTTTCCACAGAAATCAATACATCTGCAACCACTGAACAGGTCATCATTTCACTCTCCTTGACAGTCCACTGCTATAGAATTGTCTTCAATTTGTTTTTACCCTTATCTCCACAAAGTCGTTACACAGCTTAATGCATTCTTGTCCCACATTGCATGGTCAACTTTGGAGATCATTTTGTAATTCTAACCCTGAATCCTCTCCTACTCCTTGCCTAAACACTACTTGCTGAGGGAATACGCCTTTAGCTAGACACTTGCTTATAAATCCCCTGACTCAACCCTTGGGACAGAGTAAATCATCAGGTTACTAGATAACAGTAAGATATTGCCATCTTTGTTTACAATTTTCCAGCCTTTTCTGGTGCTATTTTATGAACATGAACAACCAGGTGCACACATATAGAGGCTTTGCATGCATGAATGAAATGCTAATTGAAATATTTCATCTATTATTAATGTTAAAACGGTATGTCTGCACGCAAACAATCTCTCAGTTTTCAGGCGACAAAGGCTATCCACTGGTTCAAATTTCATTCTCCAAAAACAGTGACGCACAGCACGCTGCAACTATGAGAAGTGACAGAAAAGAATCTGTCTGTTAAAAAGCAGGAGCTACACAGATTAAACCAGCTGTTCTTCTTCATCACAAACTCAAATACAGAGAATTTGAAATGAGATTCTTCATATAATTAAAACACAAATGACAGGAAGGAGGTTCCACTATGGGCATGGGTTGAGACGGTTTTGAAAAGGTTTTGTCTATCCACTTTAGGAATATACTAATTCTTCTCCGCACCAGAAAATGGCATTTGTGGACTGTCTTTAATTTCTTGCAGTAGAAATGGACAGCAGTTCCCACATCCATAAATAAGCTTCTCTCTCAAAACATTGTAACCTCTAATTTTTGAGAGAGACTGTAGGAGATCCAATGGTATCTAATAATTATGATTGGTCACAGTATTGCTTCAGTCCTGTGAATTTCATAAGAGCTACAAATGTGAATCTACCCAATTATAGTCCATCTCTGAACATCCACCTTTAATTTTGGATAATGTCACTTCCAAAGTTCTGCCACATGAATTAATGTACCTTCAGATTTATGTTGTAAAATCAATGTATTTTAACTCCTATTGAGTATCACTACTTTAATCATTAAACATATATAAAATCAAGAAAGCCAAATTGTAAATTTTAATTCCATTAACTAGCATAAATTGTCAAGGTTATCATAATTACGTTTGAATTTAATGCAATAGCTTTATGTTACACATTGAACACAGCAATCAGAATTCATTGCATTATTTCAAAAATCATGTAATGCGCAGAATACTTTGAAATTCCATTAGTATATATCTATCAATAACTTTAACAAAGTAATTTATTTTGAACAGAAGTCCCATAACCAAATGTTTGAATATTCTGTTACATACGGCTAGGTAAATAGGCTGTACGTACCCCCTTGTTTTTCCATTGTCTTTCCTCCTTTGATTACTCTGTTTCCCTCTTCTATCTCCTTGCCTTGTACTTTTCTGGTACTAATCAGAAAATGAAAGAGTCAGGGTGAACTCTTGGGCTTTATTTTAACCTTGGGAAACTTGTTGAAGCAACATAATAATAGGGACAAAAAAATAATAGGGGCAGTAGAAAAGTGTATACAAAGTCGCCTGAGTGACAAGAAACAAAGTTGATGGTTTTTTTTCAGACAAGAGGAAGGTTTATAGTGATGTTCCCCAGGATCATTGTTAGGACAGCTGCCGTATTTTAATGACCTAGGCCTTGACAGACAAGACACAGTTTCAAAGTTTTGTAGATGATCCGAAACTTGAAAGTATTGTGAACTCTGAGGAGTATAGTGTAGAACTCCAAAAAAAGACAGGTTGGTAAAATGTGTGGACAACTGGCTGAAGAAATTTAATACAAAGAAAGTGTGAAGAGATATGTTTTATTAAGAAGGAAGTAAAGAGGGGTTTAAAAAGTACAATCTTAAAGGCTGTGCAGGAGCAGAGGGACCTGGATGTACGTGTGCATTGGTCATGGAAGGTGGCAGGACAGGTTGAGAGAGCCATTAATAAAGCTTATGACATTCTGCACTTTATGAATAGGAGCATGGAATACAAGAACAAGAAATTCATGTTAAACAGGTATAAAACACTGGTTTAGCATCAACTGGAGTACTGTACACAATTCTGGGCACCATACTTTAGGAAGGATGTGAAGGCATCAGAGAGGGTGGAGAAAGATTTATGGGAATGGTTCCAAGGAGGAAGAACTTTGATTCTGAAGTTGGATTGAAGATTTTGCTACTGTTCTGCTTGGGAAGAGAAGGTTGAAAGACTTGATAGAGGTATTCAAAATCATGAGTGTTCTTATTGATGGAAGGATCAAGAAGCACAGATTTAAGATAAATAACAAAAAAAAAAGTAATGCAACAGGAGGAAAAAACTTGTTCATGCAACAAATGATCAGGATTTGGAATGCACAGCTGGAAAGTGTGGTGGAGGTAGGTTCAACTGCGGCTTCAAAGGGAAAGGATTATCTTCAAAGGGAAAGTGTGCAAGGCTCCCAGACTATAACAAGGTCATGGCACTAGGTGAATTGTTCCTTCAGAGAGTCAAAACAGGCACAATGATCAAAAAGCCGCCTTCTGTGCTTTAACAGTTCAAAGATTCTGTTGAGTTGGTGACAAGTTTGATAATAATTAGCATCTGCACCAAAATTAATTTTGCATAGACTGTTTCTTATTTGCACTTTAAGAAAAATTCAGTTATGATTTATGATGCAGCCAGTGATGAATAGAGATTCGGTGTTACCAGCTTTGACCGTATTTCACTCTGAGATTCTGCTTTCTGATGAGAAGGAACATGATGCATGCTGCTTTTAAAGCCCTTAGCAATTCCTTAACAATAAAAAAGCTAATCAGGTCTGAACTTGTCTTTATGATGTCAAATTACATTTCCAAATACTGGATATTATTGCCATTAAATAAACCCTTTGTGAATTGTCAAATAATTCCTTGTTTTCTTTTTCAGATAATGCAGGATATGAAGATAGAAACAAAAATGCACGTGCGTTTTCTTAATATGGACACTACTGCCATTTGTAAATAGTAAAAATGCAAATCCAGATTGCAAAGAATCCAAGTCAACACAATCCCACATGAAAATCTTTAATTTTTAACCACGAAGCAAACAAATTATTTCAGCCATTATTGAATAGATTGATACACACATAATTCCACTCAAACTAGTTCAGCTCATCTTCATTTTATAACTTATTTACTACATTTTTATGCTTGGCAAGTACACAGTGTTTTAAGTTTTAGAATCAAGAACTAATGTAGTTCCCTCCTGAATTGATCAGTGCTACAATTTCACAGCTTTTTTGTGAACATAGCTTTCTTTCCTTTGCCTCATTAAATGTTGTACTAGATGCTACATAAACTACTATATTAGATCTCAAGCATTTTCTGTGGTTCTAATAGGTGTATCCAGCTTAAAATTTGAAAACAAAATAATGTAGATTCCCGACTCTCCTCTTTCGCCCCCTCTGCTCCCTTTTCCCATTTCTCTCTCCCTCACTTCCTCCCCTCTCTTACCTCCACTTAAAGGCAAACAATGTTTTTACGTTTTATTAGCTGTCCCCATTCTTCCAACTAAACTGCTCAATTTCCCATACTATTGATAGCCTGCTGTTCAATTTACTGTGGAATTTAAACAAGCCAACAAACCAAGGCTGCTAATCTCATTACTTAAAACATCAATTATGTTGTGCTGAAATAATGCAATGGCCCTTCCAGTAATCTAACAACAACCTGAATTAATAATTAATATAAAAATTAATAATTTTAAAAAAGCCCTTCCTTTCAATCACACAAGTGTCAACATACTGAGAAACCAGTTCCACATGACCAAAATTAATCTTTGAAAGCAATTACAATTGGACCAGCTAAATTACAAACATGCACATTAGACCAACTATTTATTTATGCTACAAACTACTGTTTTGCTCTGACATTCCTTACCAGCAATATCAGTTCCTGCTCTAACTAAATTTAAACCTGAACTATGCTGTCTTCAATGTTTTAATCTCTGATCCTGTCTTTATAATGTGGATAAGTCTGTGTCCTTTTGTATACATTATTTATTTTTCATTTCCTCTGTGGATTTACCCTCCCTTCCAGCCCAAAGAACATGCAATTAACTTCTGGAAGGCTTAGCCTCTCCATCCTGGTACTGATTCTTCGGCAGGGAAGTAAGTACAAACCAGCCTCGTCACTTGTAAATCCTTTCTGGAATGAAGTACCTAGATTTCATTTAGCAGCTGTCCCCAAAATCGATTTGGAAAACACTGTACTTTGAATCCACATTGTATCAATGTTATGTCAACAGTGCTCTGTGACTTTATCAGATTGTATTCACTTCATTATTTTGATAGGTTGCACTTACATCTAAAATTAATAGTACAAAGGTATAAAGTATCCAATTCTCAGTATACAGAAATGTCTTTTCAGGATTCAACAACGTATCTTTATATAGACACATTATTAAAGATTCTTTTCAATAATTATAACAGTGTTGAGCCACTTTTCTGACCACTAAATACATTTTTAAAACTTTGTGTATGGGATTCGGGTGTCACTGACTAGGCTGACATTAATTGCCCTTGAGATAGTGGTAGAGAGCTGCCTTCTTGAACTGCTGCAGACTATTTACATGGGTTGCTACACCCACAGTGCTGTTGTGGAGGGACTGCCAGGATTTTGATCCAGCAACACTGAACACACTGTGTTATAGCTCTAAGCCAAGGTACAACGTGGCTTAAAAGGGAACTTGCAGGTGGTAGTGTTACCATGTTGCTGTTGCTCTTGTATTTCTAGGTGGTAGAAGTTGAGAGTTTGGAGATGGCCATTGCTTGGTACTTGGGCAGTCACTGTCATTTCCCCTTTGGAGTTAGACCAAGGATTGCAATGAGGTCAGGAACTGAGTAAGCCTGACCAAATCCAAACTGAGCGTTTGATTATTGTTAAGTGCCGTATGATAGCACTGATGACTTCCATGACTGATGGGCTGGTAATTTGCTGGGTTGAATTCCTGCTGTTTTTTTTAGGATAGGTCATACCTCGGCAGTTTTCCATATTGTTGGGTAGATGCCAGTGTTGATTTTTGTGATTGGGACATTGTGTTTGACCAATCAATTGGAGCTCTTTGAGGAGGTAATGCACTGTTGATAAAGATATTACTCTTAGATTTCCAGAAGACGTTTGATAAGGTGCCACATCAAAGCTTTTATCACAGAAAGCGAAGGTTGGTTAGTGCAGTTGGCTAGATGCATAATTTGTGATGCTAACAACGTGTACTCAGTACCTGTGCTGGCTGCAGTTACCATGAAGGACTCTCCTTCTGAAGCCTCCCTCTTGCCTGAGATGTGGTGACCCTCAGATCAAACCACCACCTGTCAACCCTCTCTAGTGAGAGAGCAGCCCAGTGGTCCAGCTTTGATGACTTCATTTATCATGGAAAATAAAAACTCATGGTAAAAGGCTAGTATAGTGGCAAGGACAGAAGATTGGTTGGGTAACAGAAAACAGCATAAATGGGCATTTTTCAAGTTGGCAAGATACGAGTGGCCTGTCAACTGTGTACAATTTATCTAAATGACTTGGAAGAGGGCATGGAAGAGCATGGTTGCAAAATTTGCTCATGACACAAACAGGTTGAAAATTAAGTTGTGAAGAGAACATTAAGAGGCTACATAATGACAGAAATAGTTTGAGTGAGCAAAGATTTGGCAAACTGAGAATAATAATGGGGAAATGCGAAATTGTCCCTTTTGGAAGGGAAAATCAAGAAAGCATTTATCTACATAGTGAGAGAATGCAGACCTCAGATGCAAAGGGATATGGCTGTGCTGGTGCAAGAATCGCAAAAGCTTAGGATGCAGGTATAGCAAGTAATTAGGAAAGCTAATAGAATGTTACCATTTTATAACAACAAAATGTAAGTAGAGAATTCTGAAGAGTCATTCCGAATTCAATATTAGCTCTGTTTCTCTCTCCACAGATGATACCAGAGCTGATGAATTTCTCCAGTATTTTTAATAACAAAAGTTGAGAGGTTACATTTTAGCTTTGTATAGCACTGCTCAGCCAGTATCTGGAGTACTGAATATTGTAATGGTCACCTTAGTTAAGGAAGAATGTAAATGTGTTGGAGGCAGTTCAGAGAATGTTAACTAGACCAATATCTAGAATGAGTGTTCTGTTATAAGGAAGGGTTGGACAGGCTAGGTCTATATCCATGAGGGTATTTAAAAAAAGACAGGTAAATTAATAGAATCCTAAGATCCTCAGTGGGCTTGATAGGATAGATTTGAAAAGGTTGTTTTCTCTAATGGCAGAATTAAACCAAGGGTCAGTGTTTAAAAATAAAGGAACCACCAATTTGAAACAGAGATGAAGTGATTTTTATTTTCTGAGGATTGTGAGTCATTTCCTGTTAAGGTGATGGAAGCATGGTCTTTGAATATTTTTAAAGCAGAAATAGATCACATCAGCCATAATCTTATTCAATAACAGAGCAGGCTCAGGGGTTGAATGCTTGCTCCTAATTCACACATTCATATGTGTGTAATGTACAGGAACAACTTAGCTAGGGCTCATGGCTAGCTCTGCCACACAGCTCCTCAATTCTATTGCCAGAATAAAGATCCATCACTTTTGCAGTATCTAGTGCCTTTGGCAATTTCTTGATAGCACACAGACTGAATTGATTTGGCTAAAGGTTAGTATCTGAGATCCTCATGACCTCAATAGGAGGCTGAAATGGATTACTCAGCAGCTTGGCTGAATATTTTTGCACTGATGGCTCATTATTAAGTATGGGGATATTTGTGAAGTCTTCGTCTACAGCGAGCTATTTAATTGTCCACTATCATTCATGACTGGATGAGGCAGGACTGCAGAGCTTAGGTTTGTTGGTTATGGGATGCCGCATGCAGCTTACTCTGCTCGATATGCAAGTAGGCCTGTGTTGTATCTTGACCAGTTTGACACTTCCTGGTGCTGCTTCCTTCCTGCATTCTTCATCGAATTCTGTTTGATCTCCTGGCTTCATCATAATGGTAGAGTGCAGAATGTGTCAAGCTGTGAGGTTGCAGATTGCAGTTGAATACAATTCTGCTGCTAATCACCCACAGAGCTGCATTAATGCCCAGTTTTGAGTTAGTCGATCTGTTTGAAGTGACCTGTTCAGCACTGTGATAATACCATACAACCTAATGGAGGGTATCCTGGATGTGATGGTGGGTCTTCATCTACACAAGGACTGTGCTCAATCAGTGGGACAGCACATTCCCAGAGATGGTGATGCCACCGTCATTATCTGTAAGGTATGATCTGAAGAGTATGACAATATCAGGCTGTTGCTTGAATAATCTATTGGACAGCTTTTTTATTTTTGGCACAAACCCCCAGCTATTAGTAAAGAGGACTTTGCAGGGTCAACAGGGCTGTGTACACCATTATTGTTTACCGTTCTTGGTCAAAATAGAAATGGGAAAAAATCTATCATAACGTATATTTCAAGAAGGTTGCAACTTGGCCTGAGTACATAACATCTGAAAGGGTTGCTCTTAGGTGTGTCTGCATATATCAAATACCAGAATAAATTACCCACTGATGTGTAAAGTACATTTGCTGATGTCTATTACAATATGTTAATGTTCATGATTCTGAAGACTAAATACAATACCTTTTGATTGCCTTCCATAAATTAAAGCCATTCAAAAATATTAAATACATAGCAGAACTACAGGATACATGTATGCAGCCACATTTTCTACTGCTTCTCCTATTCCTTTTATGATTATTTGAACCTTTAACGGCCTGTAACCAACACCAGTGCATCTAACTGCACATCTGAATTTTGTGCAATTGCACTGGCTATACATTTGGAAAGGGTGCACCTCCGCCTCTGCACATAACACCCTTCAAGCAGTTGGACGTGCACAAATGTCAACTTGTGTTTCAGGTAAAGCACTACTTGCCTTTTGGAATCACTCTGGATAAAAGATGACGTAATATTAAACCATTTTTGAGAAGTATAAGCAGAATATTAATTGGTGTAAACTAGTTGGAGAACCTCAACAAAGTCAATTTTTCCTCTTAGAGAAATTATGCTAACGAAGAAAAAAAGTGTCATTCTCATTTCTAAAATAACACTATGAAAACACTGGCAGAGAAGCTCTGTAAATGACACCTTTTCACCACTAAGCAAAACTTTAATATCTCAAATTTCTGCTAATACACCATTTAGAAGCTCACATTGTCACAATAGCTTGGACTTCCCAAGCAATCTACATCATCGTCGTCACCACTCTCAAGTTCACGTCTGTATTTTGTTGACTGATATCCAGGAATAGCAGTTTCTAATCTAGAGAGACAAATTCATTAGATAGGGTTTGAGGTGATTTATCTGGTTGGGACAGTTGATGTGGCACATTTCCAAGAAAATGAACACTCATTTTATAAAATAAAAGCTACTCCCTTACGACGTTTTTAACATTAAATTTACACAATAGGTATATGCAAATAAAGTGACAATATACCAGTTTCGGGAGGTTCATTTTATTGCCTTACACATTTCTGTATGAAATACTGTATTAGTGGAACACGATTTGTATTAGATCTATACAATTGGATACTGCAATTTTTACCACCAGAAAACCAAATGCCTCAGTACTAGCTATTACCAAATGATATATAGTTTGTCTCTCTTTCATCTTTACAAATTCTTCCAGGAGGTGCAGAAAATGACAATTGGATGTAATTTATATATGGTGCCCTGAGGTACAGCATTTTTTCAAGATAGTATTGATGAGACCCATTGTTTATTAAATAAATGCTGATTACAACATTTCACTCCTTCCTGAAAAATGACTCAGGAATGACCATATACCTTCTCTACAAGTTGAGATGTCAGCGCCATGTCATCTGGATACTGGTTCTGCAGCTCTTCATTCGCAATGTAGTGTGTGCCAGAAAATTCTAAAAAGTAGCGACCAACTTCTTCATGGCCTATTTCCAGTGGTGATGCATTACAAATTAGATTTTCTGCAAGATTAGTCAGAGCATAAGATTTTAAAACATCAACATGTGAAGGCTTTCATTTAGATCACAGAATCCCTACAGTGTGGAAACAGGTCATTCAGCTCATCCAGGTCTGCACCAACCCTCCAAAGAGCATCCCACCCAGACCCAGCTCCCTTACTCTACCCCAATCTACCATAGTTAATCCAACTAACCTGCACATCCCTGGACACTGCAGGCAATTTAGCATGGCCAATCCACCTAACCTGCACATTTTTGAACTGTGGGAGGAATCCCCCACAGACAAAGAGAGAACATGCAAACTCCACACAAAGTCACCCAAAGCTGGAAATCGAATCCAGGTCCCTGACTTTTGAGGCAGCGGTACTAACCATTGAGCCACTGTGCCACCTATATATAATAAACATGCAAAACTGGTAACTTAATCCAGAATGATATCTGAAAAAAAGGGTCAGTCAGCATTAGTGAAGCCCAAGATGAGCTTACCACAAGAAGAAAGCCATATGGTGCATCAAGTCCATGTTAGCTCTCCACAGAACAATTCAGCCATTTCCACCACCCAATCCAATTCAGCAGATAACTGGTCCTTCCTACTTACCTGCGCTCAACATCCCTCCCTTTGCCATTGCTTCAGCTGGAAATTTAACTTCAGGAGAGTCGTAGCATTGTTTAGCTTTCAACTACTCAAAAATCTCAGCTTGCTGCAATATTTGGTATAAGCACTGTTTTCAAAGGTAATGATCTATTCTACCATTTAAACATATAGGCACATTGTACATCTGGACATCTAGACATCTACCTTGTGCAGCATATCTGCATGAGCCATCCTGAACAAGAACATTGTAGAACGGCTGGTCAGGCCCATGTGGTAGATTATGGACTCCCATTGTTCGCATCCAATCCAACCCCATCATACACTTGGGATCCCATCCATATATCACACAGTCGTAACCATACCTAAACAAAAGATATTCACAGATGAATTAATCTTCATTATGAACATTTTAGTTGACAGGCAACAAAAATCTAGGCTTGCATTGATTAATGCCAGAGATTTAAAATTTATGTCAACCAACAAAACAGCAGGAAATGTGAAATACACAGAGGCACAGTCCAAGATATACAGAAGAGGTAAAATATAAGAAAATAGTGACGATAGATGACAAGGGAAAATAGAAAAGTAATTCAGATACACAAATTAAAGACAAAACAGAACGACAGAATTAGGGGAATCATAGATCACTACAGCTGACGGAGATGATTTATATTTTTATCTATGCATCAATGCCGTAGACCAACTAGCTGTGTATAGAGCCCCTGATCTTCTTGTCTCTGCATAGTCAGACACCAGACGTGGAACCAGAGATGCTAATCAGGACACTGTGAAAGTTCAGACGCGCTGACTGTGGACAGAAATTTTATATTCATGGCAGGCAAATTCTCTACTCCACCATCTCCACCTTTCAAACAATTTTGACTTACCCGGCAAATATGTTCTAGAAATCCTAGTCTAATGCCTGAGCAACTATACAACTGCACCCAAAATAATTCTCACCCCAAATGATTACTCACAAACCTGACACCTTTCTACACCATAATTTTGACTCCCACTCCAACCAGCCACCTGACAACCAGCCTAGATTGTCTAACTCCCCAGACCAATCTTCAGCCTTCTAAACTCCCAACTCCATGTAACCTGACATGACCAGCCCCCAAACTGACCTGAATTGACTACCAACCCACCCCCCTAACCACCTACAACCCTACCTCTCCCTTCTTACCACCTTACTGCTAGAGACTCACTCACTCTTTTACACTGAAAAGTCATGAGACATTTAAATTGCTTTTCAGTTTTGGTGAATAAGCACTTATCACAATATGGCAATTAATTCCCTAGAAAAGGGCACAATGTTTGTCCTCTGCCTGAAGATTTAGCACTAAAAGGAAAAAGCTCTACGAAAAACTGCTCCTCATTTCTGCAGGTTGAGATTGGAAGTCCTGCCCAGAAACAGAGTGTTCGATCATTGCGAAAAGCAGTAGGAACAAAGCAACAACCCGACAGGGAGTGTCGTCTTTCAGAAGATTCAGGTCATTTCAAGGGCATACTGGAGAGAGAGGTTTGAATAACTCAGAAGAAAGGTAGACTATGTACCTTAATTGATTCATCTGGCATAAATTTAAAATTAGCTTCACAAATTGAGAAACTGTAGTGAATTAAACTACATTCAAGGAAATGAAAAACTCCAGAATGATGCATAAGGGGCTTAATCTTAAATAAAATTAGTCCCTATTGCACATGCCAGTGTCATTCAGGTACAGGTTGCTTATATGTAGTCAAATACTAATGTCAACTGACATTTGCAGATCACAGTTCAATTGCTTACTTATAAACCATATGAACACAAGCCAAACAAATGCAATCCATGTACAGAAACAAATGCCTCACAAATAAGACAAACTAGACATGCCTCAATGACATACGCAAGAACTGTTCAGGTATAGGTCACATATGTGTGGTGCAATGATAGAATTCAACCAACTGTAAAGCATCAGAGATCACATGTCTGTAATATAGAAAGAATGTGACAAATGTTACATTTTGTAGTACACATACTGGATCAGATAAACATCTGTTTTCCTCAAGGAATGTAAGTCTTAGATAATTTATACACAGATTTTTTAAGGATTAACTGTATAATTCAGGAGTTTAAACAAACCTTCTGGATAACTCAACATGACACAATGTGATTTAGAGATTGTTATTGGAGAATTAACAAAAAGAATTTGCACCCTGTGGTGTAAAAGAAAAGCAGTAGTTTTGTACCCTGTAGAGTACTTGTGTAGCAGTACAGGAAAGGCTCTTTCAGTTTGAAAATTATTTAAAAACAAAATAAAATTTATGTTTTATACCACTGTGGAAGTGTGTTGCAATTGTTCAGTATAGTGCAACCTCAACTGATAATTTACAAGACGACTTCACTACTCAAGAGGTATAATCCATTCCCACCAAGTCTCTGAGGGCAACTACAACAAGGGAACACCCCACTCACCATCCTGACTTGGAAATATTTCACTGTTCATTCAGTGCCACTGGATCAAGTCCCTAGGAGACTGCCCCCACACCCAAAGAACTGCAGCAGTTCAACAAGGCCACTCTTCACCACCTTTTCTAGGAAAGTTAGGCATGGGCAATATGGGCCAACAATGCCCACATCCCATGAACAGATTTTTAAAAAGCAGAGCTATTGATGATTTTGCAGTATGATGGACCAGCTGGTAAACTCAGTACAATCTTGCTGTTAATATTGTGTGTTGGCAGGTGTGACTTGGAACTGTGAGGCTGCAAATGTTGCACATCATATTTTTGCTCTTCATTCAATGATTCATTTGACAAACTCAATAAATACTGTATAAGATATATACTATTAACTCCTATTAGTTGCCAGTTATGATGAGATCTATTATTGTTAAATAAGTGGTACATGAATTCAGCAGAGTACTGATTAATGCATCAGCTTGATTTCACACTACAGCAGCAATGTTCTGCAGAAAACATGACCTGGAACCAGTTCCCAGGTTTCAAATTACATGAACTTGCAGAATGAACCTAAATTATACCATACATGACATTAATTTCAGCACATCAGTGAACCATCAATGTACTTGCAGTTGAAGAAATAGCCAATGAACGTGCAGGCAAAATATCTTTCTGCCATGCAATTCTGTAATAGTAGCATCAAATATCTAATGTCACAGTGTAATGAAAGGTGTGGTTTTAAAATAGTGGCATATGGGTGTGGGCTGCATTTTTAAATGGATTTAGGCAGTCCTTCCAGAACAGTATCCTAATTCAATAGGTGTCAGAGAGCAGTGAACCTCTGGACTGTACATGGAAAATTGCCTATGCTTGGGTGGTTTGTGACAGGTGGCGTAAACATTGAAGGCTATTACAAAACCAGAAAGTGGAGAAACTCAGCAGGCCTGGCAGCATCTGGAGAGAGAAAAGCAGAGTTAATGTTTCAAGTCTAGTGATATGTTATCAGAACTGAAAATGGTTGGGAAAAGGTGGTATTTACGCTGATGACAGGGGTGGGAGTGAATAGAGTACATGGAGATGGTGCCCAGAGAGACAGCACTGTCACCATGTACTCTATTTATTTCAAACCCCACCCCCAAAAAGTCACTGAATTCAAAACATTAACTCTGTTTTTCTCACTCCAGATGATGTCAGACATGCTGAGTTTCTCAAGCACTTTGTGTTTTTGATTCAGATTTCCAACATCCGCAATTCTTTGTTTTCATTGAAGGCTATTAGCTTGTTTTCAGTTTGGAATAATTAAGGATTGAATTTGGATTTTAGAAACCTTGAGACCGAAAACTTTTAGGGAAGTTCGGAGGAGACCTGACTAAGGTCAGAAGCAAGTCTCTTTCCTACAAAGGAGTGTTTCAGACATAAATGTTGGACAGGCTCTGACAAGTCAGGCAGTGAGGCACTCACTACAGAATTTGTAGCTGCTAATCTGTGTAACAGTGCAGTTGTACAACTTCAATATCCAAGGAGGACTGAAAGATTCTATCATCTCCACTCAAACATTTCCATACCAAAGATGCATTCCATCGAAACCAGATGCCTTATTAACTGTTAAGCAATGCCAACCCTTTTAGCATCTCCCTCCTATATACTTTTATCCTATTCAATTTCTCTATTCCTTCCTCCTGTCCTCTTATATTTAATTCATCCTCATTTGTGAACTTCAAAATAATCACAAGTTTTCTGTTTAAATAAAGAAAGCCAGTCATGTCCTGTTGCTATGATTTTGATTCTTAACATCTTTCCAAGAGCAATTATGGGATATTTACAGACTTGCTTCAAACTTCAGCACCTAATGGACTTTAGAACATACCTGTTTAGTAACTGAAAAGTGAATGTAAAGGGACAGTATTATACAACTTCATCTTAGCAATTATCACAAATGATAGTTCTGCTTCCAATCTATCCATAAGCTACAAAAATCAACTATTATAATATTGTAAAACAGTATTTATCCAAAACAATAAGTGATTGTATTTCCTAAAGAAAAATGTTTGATTTACACTCTTAAAAAATACTAACATGCAATATGGAATGCAGAATAACAGAGGTGACATATTAAAAACTTGATCGATAATCAAGGACCACTGAAATGCACATGAAATATAATATTTATTCCAACTAGTCCGTCAGCATTTATCTTCCACAAAAAGCAAGCAGTTTTATTCATACTTGGCCACTTTTCGCTAGAATCCCTTTATAGCCTTTTCCTCCATTCCACCGTTCTAATTTAGTCTAGAACACGGACATAAATTCTGCCTAGACCATTCTACAGTCTCATAACTCTGTATGAATCCCCAAATTACATTAATGCTCTGAATTTGGATTGCTAGTCAATTCCTAATCCATCCACCTCGGTCCTTTTAAATATTAAACGGGGAGGAGGGACAGGTAGTGTTGAGGAAGTGGGGAGGCTGAAGTGGGGAAGCTACAAAGGACTTGGATAGGCTGGGAGAGTGGTCAAAGAAGTGGCAGATGAATACAAATGTGGAAAACTGAGAGATTATGCACTTTGACAGGAAGAGTAAAGGTGTAAACTACTTTCTAAATGGGGAACTGGGGAGTATGGGATTCAGGATTCTCTTAAGGATAACATGCAGGTTCATTTGGCAGTTAGGAAGGCAAATGCAATGTTAGCATTCATTTCAAGATGGCTAAACTACAACAGCAGAGAAGTACAGCTGAGGCTATATAAGGCTCTAGCATTTGGAATATTGTGAGCCGTGTTGGGCCCCATATCTAAGGATGTGCTGGCTTTGGAGGGGGTTCAGATAAAGTTTACAAGATTGATCTTGGGGATGAAGGGCATGTCATATGAGGAGTGGTTGAGGACTCTGGGTCTGTACTCAATGGAGTTTAGAAGTATGAGGGGCAGATCTGATTTGAAACTTACAGAATACCGAGGGGCTTGGATCGAGTGGACATGGAGAGGACGTTTCCACTAGTAGGACAGAGTTGGACTCAAAGGCAGAGCCTTAGAGTAAAGGGATGAACCTTTACTACTGAGATAAGAAACAATTTCTTCAGCCAGAGGGTGGTTAATCTGTGGTGCTCATTTTTGAAGAGGGCTGTGGAGGTCAAGTCATTGAGTGTATTTAAGACGGAGATAGATAGATTCTTGATTGATATAGGGAATCAAGGATTACAGGGAGAAGGCAGGAGAATGGGGTTGAGAAACATATCAGCCATGTTCATATGGTGGAGCAGACTCAATGGGCTGAATGGCCTAATTCTGCTCCTATTTCTTATTTTTATAGTCTATTTAAGTTTATTTACATTTTCTACTATATGCTCGAAACTTTATTGCCATTCCTTGAATGTCATTAGATAAAAATCTTGAAATTCCCTTCCCCCTAGCAAGTGAATGTACCTAACCTTTGGAATGCACTGATTCAAGGCAGTATGACTACCTTTTCAAGAATTAAGGATAGGTAAAAACTTGTGATCAAGCCAGCCATAGCCACATCAGGTGGGCTAAATTTAGAAAACAATCCAATACTGAAGTGCTGTGCAGAGACTGGTCCTTCTTTTTCTTCAAAAAACCTATAGCCCCTAGTCCTAGTCTCTCCCACAAGAGGAAACAACTTTTCACATCCACTCTGTCAAGTCTCGTCAGGATCTTGTATGTTTCATAAAGATCACCTCTCAATCTTTTAAACTCCAATGGATACAGGCTTAACTTGTCCAACCCTTCCTCATAAGACAAGGTATCAACTAAGTGAAGCTTCCACTAACTGTTTCTAACACATTTACATTCTTAAATAAGGAGGACCACAACTGTACACAGTACTCCTGATGTGACCTCACCAACATTCTGTACAACTGCAGCAACACATCCTGACTTTTAAATTCCATTTCCCACGCAGTAAACAAAATTCTGTTTGCTTTCCTAATCACCTGTTCTCATTGCATGCTTACATTTTGTGACTCATGTACTTGTACCTCAGATGTCATAATTTATCTACATTTAAATAATAGGCTGCTTTTCTATTCTTCCTGTCAAAGTGGACAAGTTCACATTTTCCTACATTATACATTTTACATTATTCCATCAACCAATTTTTTGCTCTCGCTTACCCTATCTCTATCCTTTTGCAGACTCCTTGTGTTTTCTTCAAAACTTTCCTGCCCATCTTTGAATCTTCAGCAAATCTAGGAACCATACATTTGATCCCATCATCCAAGATATTGATATAGATTGTAAGCAGCTGAGGGCCTGACACTGATCCCTGCGGCACACCACTCATCACATCCTGCCAGCGCAAACATTCTTTATACCTACCCTGTGCTTCTTATCAGCTAATCAAACCTTTACCGTTCTTCAATAACGTGAAGGCAAAATCTGTAGCACTAATCTAAGTGAGCTATCGAATGGATTGCTAAATATTTACTTTTGAAGAACACTTACTATTGGAGCTGAAAGGAGGTTGTAATTGACATTGGGAGAAGAGATTTTGACCAGCTCTTCCAAGCCTGTGGCATCTCCTTCAGCTGGGATCATGTGGGAGGAATAATGCAGGTTAAAGAATAATGGGAGCACACATAATTGTGGTTCCACTGCATTTCCAGAATGATTAGCTTTAACTGTAACTCAATATAAAATACTTTCTGGAGCTTAGGAACAAAATGTATGCTATCACAACAGAATTAATAATTTAAATAATATAAATCACTAATGAACAAACTGATTTTTTATATAATGTGAGATGATTGAAGAGCAAATTAGACAAGAGTTTCCAGTGGTATTAAAATACTTAGCTTATACCAGCATTACATAATGTAACAATGAAAGAATATCCTAATAATGAGTGGTGAATAGCTTTTATTCTGTATATGACATGGCAAAATGTGAGAAAAAGGAAAAAGCATTGCAAGATCTCACTTTCATTAATATCCAAGTCAATAAAGCCTATACATCCTAGGTTTGTAACATATAAAAGTAAGTCACCATAGTCCCAGAGGATCAGCAGACTGCTAATTAGAGTGAGATGACTGCTGCTAGTTTATCCTGAGTGTCACCCTCCTCAGAGGCAAGGCTGAGAAGGTGGGACCTTCATAGTAGCCTCAGTCAGTGCAGGAATTGAATTCAGTGTTGAACATAGTCTCCAACATATAATTACAGCAATAATTACACTAATTGGAAAAAGCTAATTTAAGCAACTAGTTGGAAAATCTACTTTCCTAATGTCAAACTCTTTCTCTTTGTCGCACATAGATTTCCGTTTGCCTGCATAACAATATTTCCAATTAATTCAGTAACATTCGAGACATTTCTGAGAATCTGATAAGGAACTATAAAAATGTGTGCACAAAGCTCAAAATACTACAGACACTGGAAATCTGAAATATAAACAGAGAATGCTGGAAATACAGCGGAGGTCATGCAGTGACCATGAAGCAAGAAACAGGCTGTGGAGACAGTAAGGACTGCAGATGCTGGGAGCCAGAGTCTATAGGTGTGAGGCTGGAAAAGCAAGCAAGTCAGACTGCATCCGAGCAGATAAGTCAACATTTCAGGCCGAAACCCTTCGTCAGCACTGGGGACGGGGAGGGGAGTGGGGCTGGAAGAAGGGTAGAAGAGATGGTGATAGGTGGATGCAGGTAGGGGATTATTGTGAATAGTCCATGGGAAGGGTGGAGCAGACAGGTGAGTGGGAAGATGGACAGTTTAGGTCAGGTCAGGAAGGGGAAAGTTGGACATGGGATAAGTCTGGGGGTGGAAGGAGTTTGAAGCTGGTAAAGTCAATGTCAAGGCCATTGGGCTGTAAGCTTCCAAGGTGAAATCTCAGGTGTTGTTCCTCCAGTTTACGTTTGGCCTCACTCTGACAGTGGAGTAGGCCAAGGATAGACATGTCGCCAAGGGAGTGGGAGGGGGAATTAAGATAGATGGTAACCAGAAGGTCAGGTTGATTGTTGCGTGCAGAGCGCAAATGCTCCACAACCTGGTCCTTGAGCCTTATATCTATTGTATTCGTTGCTCCCAATGTGGTGTTCTCTACACTGGGGAGACCTAATTCAGACATTGACTTCATCAGCTTCAAAATCCCTCCATCCCCAGCCCTCCCCCTCCTGACCTGAATTAACCTGTCCATCTTCCCACTCACCTTTCTGCTCCACCCTTCCCATGGACCAATCACAATAGTCCCCTACCTCTACCCGCCTATCACCATTTCTCCGAACCTTCCCCCAGCCCCATCCCCTCCCTCTATTTATTTCTGGGCTCCCCTCCTCCCCTTCAGTCCTGACTAAGGGTTTCGGCCTGAAACGTTGTCTGACCTGCTGTGCTTTTTCAGCCTCAAACCTATAGAAAGAAATAGGCTATGGTCTTCCCACTGACATATGAGTGTTTCCAGCATTCCCTTTTTGCAGTTAATTAGGCATTGTTATTTTTGGTGCATCCTGATATGGAGATGGGACACAGCCTACAGAACGTAATGAGTTAATTTACACCCGTCAATTTAATCCTTTTACCATCTCGTGTAAATCTGATAGACAGAAAAATCAAAATCAAGCTTCAGCAATTCTAAAATGGGATTATTAACTAGCATAAATCATTTCTGAAGAAAGGTCCAGACCCGAAACGTCAGCTTTCCTGCTCCTCTGATGCTGCTTGGCCTGCTGTGTTCATCCAGCTCTACACCTTGTTATCTCATAAATAAATCACAGGTGTTTTTGTTTAAAAAAAGGGATGATAGAATAAAAGAAAGTCTTGTCTCCATCGGACTTTTATCATTACAAGGAATTTGCTCTACTAAGATTGAGAAAGTGTCCTCTTATCTTATATTAACAACATCATATGAATTGTATTTAAGGCTATCTGAAATGCAACAGGATGCAGTAAATCAAAATTACCTTTTGTGCTTCATAATAAGCCCCACTGAAAACTGTATTTTTCTGTGCTTTTCATCTGTATGGCGTTTTACTTGAATTTCAGTTGTTTGGTTTTTGCGTGCAATCTGCTCCAAGGTTAGCTGGACTAAGTGTCCCACCACACCATGCTGCAAGGGATCGACAGCCTGTATGTGCTGAAGAACGTCCAGCACCTATGAAAAAAAACAGCAATGGAACAGAATCAAATAATAAACCATGAAGCAAAAAACAGGCTGTGGAGATAGTAAGGACTGTAGATGCCAGAAGCCAGAGTCTATAGGTGTGAGGCTGGTAAAGCACAGCAGGTCAGACAGCATCCAAGGAGCAGGTGAGTCAACATTTCTATTTACATTTACAATTTCCAGCTGTCATTGGCAGAAAGCACAAGGCTATTGCGTTTTTTCACTTAATTATGCTACATGACTATTCACCTAATAATGTATTATTATGCATTCCACAAGTCCATGGAAACAACCAGCAAGTTTAACTACTCAGTCTAAATTTCACAAATTACCTTTTCTGGATTGATTCCCAAATGAAAGTAAAGTCTAGCCTGAAGCATTAGGTATTGAACATCATCAGGAGCCAAGGTGAGATATAAATCAAGAGCATTGCGTAGTAACTGGTAAGATTGGTCACTTCCCTCTCTGTAAACAACAATGAAATTATTTTAGGCCAATGTGTGAATGAACATTTTGCATGCAAGTGTTTCATAAGTTTTACAACCAAGTGTTCCACTTCGTAATGCAGCTATTAACCCTGGATAGTAACAGCTTAGAACTTACATTTGTATGGGGCTCTTCAGATACTCAGGTGTCCTAAGTACCACTGGCAGTTACATACATCCTGAAATGCAATTATTGTTATAATGCTGGCAAACATGGCAGCTAAAGTATACACAGCAGACAAATGCTCAGTTAATCTGTTTTCGGAACGTTGAGTCAGCAAGAAATGCTGGTCAAAATACCAGAATAATTTGTTGGTCTTATTCAAACATTGCCATGGGATCTTCTATTTTCACTTAGCTCAGGAAAATGAGGCCTCAGTATAATGCTTCATTTAATAAATTTTACAAAACTGATGGCTGCAAAATATCTGCAAATAGTCTTTGATCCCCTAATAGTACGTGACTTTCCAGCCTCCTCAATAGCAGTGTGACCTACAACTCAGACCCCTCCTCATTTTCAAAGGTCAAAATGGAAGCACACTTCACACAAAATACTCCATGATATTCACAAAAGCCAATGCAGGCCTGTTATCAGCAATGCTGACACTGAAATCCCCATGATTCCATTAAGTGTTTAAAACAACTGGGACTGCTACAGACTAGCCATCAAAAAACCTGAAGACATGGTATCAGCATCCTTGGAACTCCTAGGAAAAGTACAACTCCATTGAACAAAAGTGCCTTGGCGGTACAACCAGTCAGAAAGCCCTGAAATCATGAAAACCCTCTGAAGACACTAGGCCTAACTGAATGTGAGTAGCAGCGAACTATGTTGAAGTTCAGAATTCTGCACATTTTAGTCACCATGCCTTGGTCTATAAGGATGCTTTGTTACTATTAATCCAATGAATACCGGGTTAATTCCATAGTCTCTAAATTGGTGCAGACACAAAAACAAAAGCAAGGAGTTATCAATTACACCAGAAAATCATCACAATACCTCCACAAGCCAGCATTACTGATAAAGTGAAGGCAATATCCACCCCCCGCAATCTGTCCCTGAACTTGGCTCTTGTGCCTGGTGAGCTATACAGTAATAGAATATGCACATTTCAATTCAGGACAGGAATAGGACACTCGATTTCCTTCCCCACGCCCCCACCCCGCGCCAACACAGCTACACCATTCAATACCATCATTGTTGATCTGATTGTTTCACATTCCCAACTATCCCAACAATCTATCACTTCTTTGCTTATAATAACCTATTGCCATTTTAAAAATGTTCAAAGAATTATTTTCCACCACCTTTTGAAGGAAGAGAGTTTTAAACTCCACAACCTTCTATGAGAAATAATTTCTCCTCAGCTCTGCTTTAAATAGGTAATCCCTCATTTTAAACAGTGACTCCTAATTCTACATTATCCCATAAGAGAAAACATCCTCCTTATATAACCATTATCAAGACCCCTTATCTTATTCAATTAAGTCACCTCTTACTCTTCAAAACTCCAGCAGATATAAGCATAACATGTTCAACCTTTCCACAAAAGACACTCGCCCATTCCACATATTAGTCTAGTCAACCTTCTCTGAATTGCCTCCAATGCATTTACATCTTTCCAGGAATAAGGAGACCAATACTACATACAGTATTCCAGATATGGTTTCACTAATGCTCTGTATAACTGAAGCATAGCATCTCTACTTTTGCATTCAATTGTCCTCAAAATAAATGATAAAATTCTATTAGCTTTCCTAATTACTTTCTACGTTTACGTACTAATCTTTTGCAATGCATGTACTGGGCAACCAGATTCTTCTGCCGCTGAGTACTGCAATCTCTCACCATTTAAATAATATGATGGCATCTGATGAAGGAGCAGCGCTCCGAAAGCTTGTGATTTCAAATAAACCTGTCAGACTATAAGCTGGTGTCATGTGACTTCTGATTTTGTCCACCCCAGTCCAATAGTGGCAACTCCACATCACATCTAGAAAATGACACATTTTGCCTACTTGGTAGTCTATTAACAGACTATCTTCTATCCAAGCTAATATGTTACCCCCTACACCATGATCTGTTATTTTCTGCAATAACCTTTGATAAAACACCTTACCAAATGCCTTCTTGAAATCCGAGAACATCCACTACTCTCCTTTATCCACAGCACGTTACCTCTTCAAAGAACTGTACTAAATTGGCTAAACATAGGAACAGCAGAAAGCCTATCAACCCATCAGACTTGTTTTACCTTTCAATTACCACTATGCCACTTACCCATGATATTGTCATATCCCTTGACATCATTCGTCTCCAAAAATATGTTAATTTTTATCTTCAATATGCTCAATGATTGAGCTTCCACAACACTCTTTGGTAACGGTTTCCAAAGATTCAGCACCCCGAGTTAAGAAATTCTTCCTCATCTCAGTTTGAAGTGGCTTACTCTTTATCCTGAGACTAACTTCCCTAGCTTTGGATTCATTAACCGGGGAAATATCTTATCTAACTCTATTCGGTCATATCCTGTAAGAATTTTGTAAGTTTCGATGAGATCATTCTTCAAAAGCTTATTCTTCGAAACTTTAGGGAATACAGACCTAATCTCCTTAATCTTCCATGAAATAATCCACAACGTGGGGATTAAACTGGCAACTTTTATTGCACTCCCTCTAAGGCAAGAATAGATTTAAAGAAGCAAATCATAAATGTACACACCAGGTGAGGTCTCACCAAAGTTCTTTCAATTACAGGAAGACATCCATACTCTTCTACGCAAATCCCTTTAAGATGAAGGCCAGTGTATCACTTGCTTTCCTAAGTACTTACTGTATCTGCATGCTGCACATTAATTATAATGACTTAGGAACATGGAACTACAAACAATGATTACAGAAGAAAGGATATAATATTCCCTGTGATGGTCATAGTATGATTCCACAAGGTGAAAGGAGACTGAAATAGTTTCAACTCCAATGTATCGACTAAATTCCTCTGAAGGCCAACATGTTCAACATTACCCCAACTGTTTAAGAAGCTCATTTCAGAGTCTAATGTCATAACTTACAAACTATTAAATCTTTAGGATCACTGCATATTTGGCCGTTCAAGCTAACTTTAAAAGATCAGTGTCTTTATTTTACCTTCTGATTCCATGTCTGTTCTTTTATCCTCCACATAATTTTCTATCCAACAGATATCTGAACAGCCCGAATGGGAAGTCCTCCTTCTTGAAAACTACTGCTGGTTTTATTAGCCATCACAAATGAGGAACACAGCAGAAACACACCATCCAATTTCCTTGTTGCTTGGTCTCCAGCATGGATAACCTTCAGTGTTTCAATTTTATTATCATAGCAAATACAGCTTTGAATGACTAGCACTCAATTATATGGAACCATTGCTCCAAAACTAATACAAGAGCAGTGTCAGGATACACATCTTACCTCTTTCCCAAATGAAACAGGTTTGTAACCATGCGGAACAACACATCTTTTGTGGTAACTGAATTGTAAAACTTAGATGTAACTTGCTGACCAATCAAATGCTCACATTCCTTTGCAGTATGTGGTTTTCCATTGTCAAAGGCATCAATGTAGACATAGTCTAAAATATCAGTACTCCTAGTAAGAAAAAGGTAGAATAAAGGATTTAATTACAAACATCATAATATACAAATCAATAGGTTTCATGCAACTGAAAACAACTAATAATGAAAAGAAATTAATCAAGTATAGAAAAGCCAAAAATAACTGTCTAATTTTTGACAGAATCTTTATCTATTACACAAAGGATAAAATAAATATACTGGAAAAGTTTTCTTAAGAACCTGCAATACAAAAGTTAGTACTGCAATACCTCAAGAGCTGAATATATTCATATCAATCATGAGAATGTAGTCAGCATGTCTGGCCATTCTGTGAAAGACATTATTTATTCCACAAATTTAAAAAGGTGCAAGTTTTTGAAATTTCCCAAGTTTGTCAAAAACTAAAGCCAATGTATCATGATTTCTTTTGATTGAAGGATAAAATCATCCTTCAAAGCATTTAGAAGGAAGATTTGCATTGTAAATTACAATATGAAATCAAATACATTCACAAGTTAAACAACTGATTTGTGTTGCATAATTTCTTACCATTCATTTCAGTTTAAAAACCAGCAATCTTTCACAACTTCTGAAGTGATTGATACAAATTATGGCAGTTGGATTATATTGCATCGCACACTGCATCCGCAAAACGTTTCAGAAATCATAAATAATACCAGGAGTAGCCATTCAGCCCTTTAAGCCCACTATGCCATTCGATGAGATCATGGCTAATCTTCCACTTCAACACCACCAGCTGCACTATCCCCATATCCTCTGACCCTTTAAATATGTAGAAATTATTCACCCTTAATCTTCAACATACTCAATGACTGAACATCCACAGTCCTCTGTAGTACATGGAATTCCAAAGATTCACCACCTGCTGAGCAAAGAAATATTTCCTCAACTCAGTCCTAAATGGCATGTCCCTAAGATCTAGACTCCCTTCCACAGACAGAGGAAGCATCCTACCTGCATCTAACCTATCAATCCCTATGAGAAGTTTGTATGTTTCAATCAAATCAAATCTCATTTTTCTAAGCTCTGGAAAATACAGGTCTAGTCTCCTCATTGGACAATCCTTCCATTCTAGGGATCAGTCTGGTGAACTTTTGTTACACGCCCTCCATGGAAAATATATAATCTCTTAATAAGGTGATCAAAGTGGCACAGAATACTTCAAGTGTGAAGTCATCAAGATTCTCGATAATTGCAGTAAGAAATCTTTACTACTTTACTCAAATCCACTCCATTAAAGGCTAATATTAGCCCCAATTGTTTGCTGTGCCTGTATGTTAACTTTCAGTGACTCCTGATATTGACATCCAAGTCCCTTTAAATGGATACTTCCCAGCCTCTCACCATTTAAAGAATACTCTGCATTTCTGTTTTCTCAGCAAAGTGAATAACCTCACGTCTCCTCCATCTACCAAATTTTTGCCCATTCATTTGAGCTTCTCCAATTTCTCTTGAACTGTCTTTACATCCTCATTACAACTCACTCTACCACCTAGTTTTCCATCATCCACAATCTTGAAAATATTACACTGAACACCCACATCCAAATCATTGATACAGACTGCGGATAGCTGAAACCCAAGCACTGAACCTTGTGGTAGCCCATAGGTCACAGCCTACCAACCTTAATATGACCCATTTATTCTGTTTTCTGTCTGTTCACCAGTTTCCAATCCATGCCAGCACATTTCTCCCAAGTGCTTTAATATTGTTTACCAAACTCTTGTGTGAAACCTTACCAAAGTGCTTCTAAAATCTAAAAAATCCACATTCACCAGTTCCCCATATCTTTTCTATTTGTTATATCATCAGAAAACTCTAACTTTTTTTTAAAGATGATTTTCCTTTCATAAATCCATCATACCATACCAGGTCACTTATCACATTCATAACAACACAAACAAGAAGTTAGCAAGCATCCTCAACAGAGAAGAAACATCCAATAGTCTTATAATCAGCCAAATAGACACCAAGCTAAAGGAAGAGATATTCAGAGGAATAACTAAAAGCATGGCTGAAAAGTGGCTTGTAACAAAGTTTGTAAAGGGAGAAAAGAGACACAGAGTTTGAGGAGAGGTGGTTTAAATGGTTAAAGACATGACCGACATTGCTGACAATGCACAAGATGTAAAAATGGAAAGAGAACAGTTCTACCTCGTTAAGAAACTTAATTGATTTACATCTTCAGGAGATATGTAGACAGTATTACCCTTCAGGCTTTTGGCACCATCTTAAGAGAAAGTGACTTGGAAAGCTGACCGGCTCCAGTCGAACACCCAGATTCTTGCCTATGGTTGAATATATCACACAGAGTGTGATAGGAATTCCTTTCTTTTGGCTAAGCACCTACATACAAACAACACAAAAACAGCAGCTTTTATATTTGTACCTCATAACTAAGCAGAGCACTATCTTAAAACTTACATACCTGGTGTATATAGGAATTCATGGGGTTGTAATAATCTTCTTCATTTCCTTTAAATTTGAGTTGCTTGTATAATACATGGTTCATAGCATCCAGAACCTGTTGTTGTAGTTCTAGATCATCAATAAACACATCATCTGAAACATGCATCACAAAAGAAATACATTGTGCTACAATTATGCAGAATATTGGCTTTTTATATTTTTAAATACACACTTCAAATACACATTTACTTAAAAGGACAAGGATACCCAAGTGTTGGCAATTTCACAGAAGAAAACCTACATTTCAGAATCTAAAATAATACCCACCCCCGAAAAATGACAAAAATATTAACATCTGAATGACTCTTGATTTAAACTTTGCTCCCTATTAAGCTGCTCTATGGCACATCAACATGAAGCATCAATAGCAAGTAGAAATAATAAGAACTGCAGTTGCTGGAGTCAGAGATAACAGTGTGGAGCTGGAGGAGCACAGCAGGCCAGGCAGCATCAGAGGAGCAGGAAAGTCGACATTTCAGGTGGGGACCCTTCTTCCCCATTTCTGAAGAAGGGTTCTGACTCGAAATGTCAACTTTCCTGCTCCGCTCCTCCAGCTCCACACTGTGTTATCAATAGCTAGTAGTGTGCTTCCTCAAAGTTTCATGCTCAAGAAACAGTTTTTGTTAATGTGTAAAGTTTGGCCCTGGTTATTTCAACAGAAACACTCTGGAAAATCACAAGTTCAAATATCAAACAAGATTAGGATTTGAAAATAGGTCTGCAACTGTAAATTAGTAGACTTTTTATTGCTGGCATTGAATTTCACTATATTCTTGAAGACTATGTTTGGACCCAAAGTAGCCAAACAAATATGATTTCTTATTGTAATACGTAACTAAAAACACAACGCTGATCCATTGAAAAATTAAGCTGCATGGATAAAACTATTTACCTTTTCTTGCAGTGATACTTGGATGATAAGAGTGTGTTAAACGCAATGCTTTTTTCACCTCATCTGTAATGTAATTCAGCTGTAATAGGATATTCTCCAGGGAGTTGTCTGCTAAGGGGTTGCAGTATTGGTCTATCAGCACAACACCTGGCAAGAAAAGTAAATCAGACTTTATGTTTGCAAACCTAATTACATATTCTACATTATACAGAACTGTTTCTTAGTAAGTACAGAATCCTGTCCAAATTCTGGGGGTAATTAGAATCATAGAATCCCGACAAGATGGAAACAGGCCATTTGGCCATCAACTCCACACTGACTCTTTGAATATGACAGGGCAGGGTTCTGGCACATTAAATTCCATGTGTAACACAGATTCTCACCCGTGATTTCCACATGGCAATTTCTCCAAACTTATTCAAGTGAAAGAATAACACAGGAAAGAAGTGGAGTAATCTTTGGTTAACCTTGAGCCATCCAGTGCAAGCGTGGCACCGGATGAGAATCTAAAACAGATTTCCCACTTGAATCATCATCATTAAAAATGTGTTTAAAAAATAGTGATAACAGTCACATTCACATGACAATTATCAATCTTTTTCAACTGGTTGCACATTTTAATAATCTCCATCAGTTTGCCTAATAGTTAATGAAGTAAAAATATGAAGTTATACTTTCTGCTGAGAATACTGTTACCTGACAAGGCACATTGTTACTTACACCATCTCACTAATTATACGCATTCTTAAAAAAAGAAATATATAACTAATTCCCTTACCTTCTATTAATTTTTGGTGTTCTGGAAGAGTTAAGAGAAACTCCTTCAACTTTTCCATGATGTCCCTCTGACGAAGATAACACAGGATTTTGCGAGAATAATATTTCCATGTCAGATACTTCCTGAAGCAAAAGAATCTCTCCAATTATTCAATATCTGCCTCACTATTTTTCCAATTTAAAAGATTGCAATTAATTAACTTAGTTTGATTAAGTAACTCCATTCATGTTTTCCTGATTTTCATAGATATATCAATCACTCACCTTCCATCCATATTTAGAATTGACAACAATTCATGTTCAATAAAACAGAATGGACCACCTAGAGCCTCAACGTCTTTAAAGCCATCAACAGGAACCTGTCGATAAATATCCGTGTTACGACCAATGTCACATGTGCGCCATCTACTGGCAATTACACATTTTTGAAGTGTTTAATGTTTATGTGATCGTAAATGAAAAGTCATTAGGCAATTAATTCTGTTCAATAATTGCATGGAGCACAACAACACAATACTACAATACAAAAGATTCAGTTACTGGCAGCACAAGCAGGAAGAATGCACACAAGCACGTTTAAGTTCCAAGGGTTTCCTCCAGATAAATACTGGCACTAATTTATATATCAAAAAATATTTTTGTGTGTAAATAACCAGGACACTTTTGTTTAAAACCAATCTATTTATATTTCAAGGTGGTCTCAACACTAGAAGGAGCAAAGCAGTAGATTATGCTCTAATGCAAATATATATGATTATTCTGATTCAGTTTTGTACACATTTAGTAAGTGTCTGACAATCTAAATTTGATTACACTTAATGGATTCATCATAATGCAGCGGACAAGAGTTTTATAAAACCAACTTAATAAAGGATGGGAATGTTTCAGGCTTGTGAAAAAGCTTTCTGCTGTAATTAGGAAACAAACACAATGAAATTAAAATTACTGGGAGGTATCAAAACAACAAGGAATTGACTGATATCTATCAAGATATTAAAGAATATTTAAGAATTCCTCAGAGATTATACATAATTTGTGTAAAATAGTTATCCCAGGGATTTAGAAATTTTCAACATTAATTATGAAGAAAGAGCCGTATTGAGAAAAAAACTTTCCAAAAACTTAAAACAAAATTGCAGAAGCTGGACACTTGAAATACCAACAGAAAATGCTATAAACACTCAGCAGGTTGGGCAGAGAAACAGAGTTAACATTTCAGAACAATGATCTTTCATAGGTTCAACAGAATATCAGCAAACATGCCAGCTCAGGAAATATATGAACAATGGCAGCAACCATCAACTTTAGATATCTCAATAGCATTTTGACTCTGGGAATGACACTATGTTCAAGAATAATCCAATTTATTTCTAAGGACATTGAGTGAAGAAGCAATAAAGCTGTGCAACATTCAGATAAAGGTAGGGAAAAGCTTTTCTTTCTCATTAGCTGGAATGGGAACCAGAAATAAGGTGTGAACAAGACATGCAGAAGAGATACGAGGAAGAACAATTTTACACAGTAATTGGTAATGACGTCGAACTTGATGCCCACAAAGATTTGTAGAATCCCTACAGCGTGGAAGCAGGCCATTCAGCCCATCACATCCATACGACCCTCCGAAGAGCATCCCACCCAGACCCAATCCCTACCTATCCTTGTAACCATGCATTTCCCCTGGTTAATCCACCTAGCCTGCACATCCTTGGACACTATGGGCAATTTACCATGGCCAATTCACAACCGCACATCTTTGGACTGTGGGAGAAAACCAGAGCACCCAGAGGAAATCCATGCAGACACGGGGAGAATATGGAAACGCCACACAGACAGTCCCCCAGGGGTGGAACTGAACCCAGGTCCCTGGTGCTGTGAGGCAGCAGTGCTACCCACTGAGCCACCGTGCCTTCCCAAAGCTGGTGGAAGAGGAAATGTTCAAAACTTTCAAAAGGAAATTCACAGCAGGACTACAGAATAGACAAGGGAATGGAATGGACTGGATTGCTTCACAAACAGCAAGCATGAACTTGATGCAATAAATAGCTTCATTACAGGCCTTAACAACTTAATAACTCTGTGTACAACGGTGTTACCTGGCTCAGGTATCAATTTATCATTCGCAATAACATTTTCAATTATTGTTACAATTCTAACCTCTTTTGAAAAGAATCGCTTTGAAAAGGTGTCCACCATTGCTTGCACTTGTCTACCAATAGAATGCCGTGTTCGGTATTCTTCCCACCAGTTATGACTTCCTGTAGTACTGTAGTATTTCATCAGTGTGGGCCATCTACAAATACATAAAGACATTATTCAAATAATTCAAAACTTACATTTAAAAGACACATTCTCTCCTCAAACAGCCAAACATCATCTCACACCTGTCTCTAGAACCAATCATATGCTTCTAATCTCAGAGTTTAAAAGCCTGCTCCCTTTAAAGTGCAGAACCACAGACTTCTCAAAAGAAAGAACTGACATCTCCTCCCATTACTGATGAGAAACCATGATCACCCAGCAATTAGACATGCTGTGGCAACGTATACATTTACATGCACGCTGCAACCTGGAGCTGTGGATAGTGATTGAGGATGTTCCACATTCTTTCCATCACATGGCTGACCAGGAATCTCTCCCTCACATTGTAAGAATTCACAAATTGATACAGCTTCTTTAGATGTGTTATGAACACAACTTACTTGTCCAATGAGTTCTAAAGTGGAACTGAAACCAGGAGCTTCTTGCTCCGAGGCAGTGATGCTACGTATTGAGTTACAAGACCTCTTTTTTCTTAGGTATGGATAGTAAAACTTCACATTGTATTCCAGATGTGTTGTCATCAAAGTTATACATAGTGATACTTCTTTATTCAATGTTAGTGGAGGCGGCAGCGGCAGCAGCAGCAGCAGGGTAGAAAGGGTTCCGGCTCTGTGCTTTTATGCTCCCCCTCACCTGACACTTGCATTCTTCAAAGTTCACCTTTTCTGCGGCTGCAAAGGAAGGTGGTTGCAAGGGCCTACTGTGGCGGTGGCAGCGTGGTAGATCCAGATGTCCATTCCTTGTGGCCATAGCGGCTGCAGCTTTACCAAAGGCATCATTGTCGGTTGGTCTGGTCCTTTCCTCGTAGCTATGGTAGCAATTGGCTGCTTCAGACTGAAGTGGTGACATCTTGAGCAATGGCTTCAGCATCGGTGACTTGGTGGGTCTGGTCTGTCCCTCCTTATTGTGGTAGTGATGCAACAGCTTCTATGTTGGCTTCGGTAGTGGCAGCGAGGTGGGCCCAATCTGGAAATCCTTCCTTTGGCAGCCTCAGGGGTGGCTTTGGTTGCAGCGTTCCATAGCAACTCCATAAACCCAGATTGCCGTGGAGAGAACAAAACATGAACTTTGTCGTAACTTCTTTTTATAATTTCTGTAATTAAAATGGCACCAACTTTTGGCAACTTATACACATCTCACTGTATTTTCATAAATACCAGAAACAATAAATTGCTATTCTATTCTATTTTCCTAGTACTTCAAACCCCTTGCCACTGTACCATTTGCTATTGTAATTGCTTTCTGTACCTTTGAAAGATCATTAACTTGAAATCTTAACACTGTTTTTCTCTCCCTACAGATGCTGTTAGATTCAGAGTATTTCCAAAATTTCCAGTTTTTAAGTTCAGATTTCCCACAATGCTGCCTTTGGATTAGACATTTATTTTTGAAGCCACTGTGATAAGGAATATAGTTTAGGCGCCAGAATACAAGCGTGCGCATCCAGCCATGGCAATTTATATCTGACCAGTTGCATCAGCACTTACAATATTTTATTCTTCTACATTTCTGATCTTTACCTATTAACACTCCTAAAAGCCTGCCTATGCTTTGCGATACCAGCTCCAAGATATGCCCAATAACTTTGTTCATAAATCAAACACCAACATAGGTAAATGAGATCTGGATGCCATTCTTCAAAGGTAAAGCGCAACAAGAACAATAACAATGCATGGCCAAAGGTTTGAAACCCTACTTTTTCATCTTCAAGCCTTGGGTTTGAATCTAGTCTCAGTCTCCTCTGTCTAACATCAGTGAAGTTCAAACAAAACGAGTTAGAAGTTTTCCATCTGCACACTACTCCTCAGAATTAAACCATCAACAATCAGTTACTAACAGCAGTAACTTGATAATCTCAGTCAGAAGGATCACAAAGATAAGCAGTGATCAGTGCGAAACGGGAATGTACATTGCTCCGGTGAGCATATTTTTCCTAGAGCTGGGAGTTAGACAATTGGACCAATATAGCTGGGGCTTACACGAGCGAACGAAGATATGTTTTGACTAGAAATACGAACATTGAGGATTATAGAGAAAAAAAGAAAGTTTCATCTTCCAGCAACAACATTATCTGCCCCTTTTCAGGTCACTTGGCAGTGCTTTTATATTTACTGTGCCAATACAAAAGCAATGTTAAAAGATAGATTATCCTCATGAATCTCAAGGAAACTGCAGCTAGCAACCCAAGGAAATTTTGCTCTTTATATTTCAGAAGGGGAATGGAAGGGGGGGAAGGGAGCAGCAAGGAGAAGTGAAGGTTGCAGAGTGAAACGATAAAGGAAGACTGAAGAAAGGCGATTAAGAGTCTGGTATTCGGACAAGTGAAGACTGTCGAATAGGATGGCATGCGGTGCTTCATTTCTACAGAACTGGAAGCACCAGTGAAGGATCGTTTCCATCAAAATGGGTGGACTCGAAGCACTATCACTGAAAATACCAGGAAGGCAGACAGAAGGAAGGATTTTAAACAGGAGAGCTGTTATGTTACAGAATGCTTCACTACACACGGCTACTCAAGCAGAGATGAGAATAGGATTTAAAATGGAATTAGATCAGTGTCTAAAGAAAAACAAAGTGTTCCGTTGAAAGGAGTTGCAGGAGTTCCAATGTCAAGTGTCAAATGGCCTCCTCCTGTTCTGCAAATTCTATAATTCTAACAAAACTCACTTTCAGTGAGACTAAGCCCTGGGAACAAGCAAGAAACTGAATAATTTTGAACTCTAGAACATGGAATTTTAGTCGCAGTTTCGGTAATTTGAAAGATGGTTTGGAAAACCCTGTATTACTTGCTCAGAAGAGTAGAACATGCCCAAAAGTATCAAATTCAAAGGACAGGGCACAAATTTTGACTGAGTTTGCACATTATTATTGTTGGTCACTAACTGCTGTATTAGCTTTAAAATTACAAGCCAAGCAAGCTCTGCCATACTTTGGTGGACGAGAGGTAAGGAAGGGTGATAAAGACAGCAGACTGTTTGAATTGTGGAAAAAAAGAGGAAGAGAACCCACTAGCAGTCTGTGTTTCCAGTGAAAAAGTCAGAATTTTGGTAACTTTAGTTAGTTTGAAGAGATAGTCCAGAAAGAGACAAAGGTTAAGTTCCTGAGCAAACGTCAACAAGAACTTTAACCGCTTAGTCTCCTAAAATAGAAGAATTCAATTGCATCAAATCTTGGATTGCATTATCAAAATGTTGTAAGCATCGCTCTCTGTGAAACAGTCACTTTTCTAATGTCAACAAAACAAAACTGTTTAGAAAAGTCTAAGCCGCATGTCTCCTATTAAAGTGTATACTAAAGCTGTCAAGAATTAAGAAATCTGCAAAATGTTGATCTATGCAATCTCTTGGCATAGGTCAGATCAGTCTGCGCCAACTAGTTACAGTTTGTGTAAGTTCAAGTACACACTGGCTCAACTTGAACTTCCAGTTCAGAACTGATGTTTTTACATTGCCTAGTTCAAATCAGAGTAGAAAGAGAACCACAGTAAAATAGCAAATTACTTGCGTCTTGACTCAGAAAATCAACCATACTTTGAGTTGTAGGATTCTTGCTGGACCAATAGTGTGACTATCATTAGGTTTACAAGATTACTATTATCAAGGATATTAGGGTCAAGATAGGGCCCTGAGATCGTGTGCATACATCTAAGCAGACTGATGGTGCATGGGTTTACACAGCTCCACTGACAGTGCAGCAGTGCATTGGATTTTGTAGTCAAGCCTAGCAGCGGGACTTGAACTTGGAATTTTGCGATTGAGACGAGAGTCACAGTTGACACCCCCAAAAAATTGTTTATTTAGACAGATACCTTAAACTGGTCACTTTTAAAGAACATGAAATGACACGAGTGATTTTTTGTGCAGGGTCAGAGGTAGTTTGCTCGGCCTGTTCGCTCTGCCTACCTCCGCCTGAACTGGTGTTTCCATACGGCACTCCGGCCCTGACAAACCTCCTGCAGCTTCTTACAGGCCAGGCAGGCGCTCACCACATCCATATGGCTCAACGACGGGCAGCAGAATATCTGCTCCAGTACCTCCTCTGGCAACCTGGTCAATCCTCCACTCTCCCCCAAAACATCCAGCTCCGCCATTTTACTTGTTTACATCGGACGCCCTTGGCCAAGCGACTTCCGCTTCCGGCCCCGCCTCCCGCGGGAAATTCAAATCCCTTCAGGCCTGCTTCCATGGGGCAGGGTCTTACCCTTTCATTATAATGTGTCAGCAAGTGGAATAACATTTACTAGCATTGCGCTGGTGTCAATGTGTGTACATGAATGTTTCAGCGAGTGTTAGAAATGTTAATCCTGCTTGAATTTATATATTTTCCTATAACTGGGACAAAATAAGTTACTCTATCAGAAAAAAAGTGGGAATCTCCAAACAACTCCCAGTTCCTCTGCCTCCACCAGGTCGGCTCCCAAGATGGGGCGTTCCACTCCCGCACATCCCAGATGTCCTCCTATTTCAAAGACTGTTACTTCCCCTGTCCGTTGATCGAAAATGCCCTCAACTGCATCTCTCTCGCTTCCTGCACTTCTGCCCTCAAAGCCCCTCCACCCAACTAAAATAAAGACAGAATCCCCCTTGTCCTCACATATCATCCCACCAACCTCCGCATCCAAGGTAGCATTCTCCGCCACTTCCGCCACCTACAATCCTTGACTCCACAACCAAAGAGATATTTCCCTCCCCACCCCTATCTGCCTTTCGTAGGGACCGCTCTCTCCGCGACTCCCCACTAGCCCACCACTCCCGGCATCTTTCCCTGCAACCGCAGGAAGTGCTACACCTGCCCCTACACCCCCCCCCTCACCTCCCTTCAAGGCACAATACAAACTTTCCACATTAGACAGGGGCTCACCTGCACATCCATCAACTTCATCCACTGCTTCTGCTGCTCCCGATGTGGCCTCCTCTACATCAGTGAGACTAAGCGTCGACTCGGACACCGTTTTGTAGAGTATCTGCGCTAAATTCGTGACAAACGACAACACCTTCCAGTCACCAACCATTTTAACTCCCACTCCCATTCCCAGTCCCAGTCCCTGGGTGACATGTCCATCCTGGGCCTCCTCCAACGTCACAATGACGCCATCTGCAAACTGGAGGAACAGCACCTCATATTTCGCCTCGGGAGGTTACAGTCCAATGGCCTAAATGTGGATTTTACCAGTTTCTAAATTTCCCCACCCCCAGCCTCATCCCATGTCCAATCCCCACTTCTTTGATCTGACACAACCTGTCCATCTTCTCTCCCACCTGCCCGCTCCTCCCACCTCACTGATCAATCCCCACTACTGCCTACCTGCACTCACCTATCACCATCCCACCTACCTTTGCCAGCCCCACCCCTCCTCTCTCTATTTCTTAGCTCCCTACCCCCTCCCCATTTCTGAAGAAAGGTCCTGACCCGAAACATCAACTTTTTTGCTCCTCTGGTGGTGCCTGGCCTGCTGTATTCTTCCAGCTCCACACTGTGTTATCTCTGACTCCGGCAATTGCAGTTCCTACTATCTCCGACAGACATTTGATTGTCTGTTTGCTACCCCTCGCCCCATCTTCTGCATAAATATCAACCTTTTCCAAGCTACCATCAATTCTGAAGAAGGGTCACTGGACCTGAAACGTTAACTCTGATTTCTCTCCCAGATGCTTCCAGGCTTGCTGAGCTTTTCCAGCAATTTCTGGTTTGCTTTTGTTTCTCGTTTCCAGCACCCACAATTCTTTTTTTTTTTTTACTTGATTGTTTGGTCCTGGGATTACCACACAAGCTCGGCGGTTTGCAAATCCACATCAGTACTTTATTCTTCACTTAAACATCAAAGAACGTATTTGAAAGATACAATGGGTTCTTGATCTGATGGTGGAGTTGAATTTAGATAAATGTGAAGTGCTGCACTTTGGAAAAGCAAATCAGGGTAGGACTTATACACTTAATGGTAGCACTTATACAGTTAATGGTAAGGTCCTGGGGAGTGTTACTGAACAAAGAGATTTTGGAGTGCAAGTTCATAGTTCCTTGAAAGTACAGTCGCAAGTAGATAGGATAGTGAAGAAGACATTTCGTACATTGCCTTTAATGGTCAGTGCGTTGAGTATAGGAGTTGGGAGGTCATGTTGCAGCTATACAGGACATTGGTTAGGCAACTATTGGAATACTGTGTGCTGTTCTGGTCTCCCTCCTATAGGAAGGATGTTGTGAAACTTGAAAGGGTTCAGAAAAAAATTACAAGAACGTTGCAGGGTTGGAGGGTTTGAGCTACAGGGAGAGGCTGAATGGACTAGGGCTATTTTCTGTGGAGTGTCGGAGGCTGAGGGGTGACCTTATAGAGGTTCATAAAATCATGAGCAACATGGACAGGGTAAATAGACAAGGTCTTTTCCCCGGGATAGGGGAGTCCAAAACTAGAGGGCATAGATTTAAGGTGAGAGGGTAAAGATTTAAATGGCAAACTTTTGCATGCAGAGGGTGGTTCATGTATGGAATGAGCTGCCACAGGAAGTGGTGTAGGCTAGTACAATTACAACATTTAAAATGCATTTGGATGGGTACACGAGGAGGAGCGTTTTGGAGAGATATGGGCCAAATGCTGGCAATGGGACTAGATTTATTTAGGATAGCTGGTCAGCATGGACAAGTTGACTGAAGTGTCTGTTTCCGTGCTGTATGTCTCTATGACTCTAATCTCTAATTCTCTAATTAGAGAATCTCTAATTCTTTTCATGTGTAACTCAAGAAAATACATAGAAAACCCATTCAGCCATTAACAATATTTTTATCTTTAAAATATAATGATCCCAATACTGTTTCTTTATTCAAAAGGCCAGTTCTTACTCCAATTTGTTCCTATTTTCTACAGTATTCCTGGACACACTGCTCCTTATCATCATCCTGTAGGTGAAGTTGTTACACTTAAACTTACATCTTCTGCTATAGATTCAAAATAATCCCATTATTTTTAAATTTTCGGTAAACTCAACGATCTCTTCTTCAGTATAAATATTAAGATTCATATAGTCACTCATCACAAGTCTAACCACCCAATCTTCAATAAAAAATAACGAAAGGACTGTGGATGCTGTAAATCAGAGACAAAAACAGAAGTTGCTGGTAAAGCTCAGCAGGTCTGGCAGCATCTATGAAGAAAAACCCTTCCTTACACCAGACCTGAAACGTTGACTCTGATTTCTCTTCATAGATGCAGCTAGACCTGCTCAGCTTTTCCAGCAACTTCTGTTTTTGTTGAACCCAATTCTCAACCTCATTACCAGTTTAATTGGCTTCCTCTGTTACCACACAAAAGGAATTTGAAAAGGTTCCTCAACAAATGCCTTACATCTACTGTACATATTACATCATTAAAGAACTCTAATACATTTGTCAAACATGATTTATTTTTCACAAAATAATGTTCACTCTACCTGAATATATGATGATTTTCTAAATATCCTGCTATTACTTCCTTAACAATGGACTCTAATGTTTTCCCATTGAGAGATGTTAAGCTGAAGTTTCCTGCATTCGGACTCCCTCCTTTCTTAAGGCATTACATTTGTGGTTTACTTAGTATCTCTGTAGCCATTTCTTTTAAGACCCAAAATCCATCGGCATCAGAGATATGGGACTTGTCAGCCTTTAGTTGCATTGTTTTCCTAGTTATTTTTCTTTATTGATCACAATTAATTTACATTCTTCCATTCCTTTGCCTCTTGATTTTCTACCATTATTAGGTTACTTATTTGTACCTTCTATTGTAATTACACCCACAACGTTCTTGTTCCAAGTCTCTCCCATTACCTTGTCACCAAGTATTAATTCTAACTCTAACCCTTTGCCCCTATCCAAGTGTCACTCTGCAACTTATGCCAGAAAACATAGCCCAAAATTAGTCATTTATTGAGCTTCTAAGACTCATCCTTTATGGGACTGAAATATTTATTTTCTTTAGTTACACTTTTCCTTTTTTACATACTTGATAGAAGCTTTTACTGTGTATTTTATATTTCTTTCTAGTTTTCTCTCATGTTCTAATGTCTGTGTATATTTTCTTAGTCATTCTTTGGTGGTTTCTAAATGCTCTACAATCTTCTAACTTACAAGGAATCTTCACAGCATTGTAAATCTTTTCTTTCAATTTAATACCATCTATAATTTTCTTAGTTAGCCACAGCTGGTGCATTCCTCTCCTAGTCTTTCTTTCTCAATGGAATCTTTCTTGGGAGCTATGAATTATCTCCTTAACTGTTCAACTGCTACGATTTAATCTCTACCAACACCCTATCAGACAATCAAAAGGATATATTAATGGGATTTTACACAATGGAGAGGAAATCTGTCATCTTTAGAATTCATATGAAGATCACCATCTCTTTGCTTTTTTCACATAATCCCCTTGAGTTCATCATCACATGGACTCCTGACTTGGTGATGTGGTATCCCACAGGGACTGTTAATATGACCTTTTCCCCTGCAAGTGTCACTTTTAACTCCTTCCTGTAACCTACCCTCATTTACACAGCCCAAAATTGGGCATTTATTAAACTTTTCAGATTAAGTACTCCCTGATGAGTAAGGAGATTGCTTCCAAGTTCAGCTCAGTCTTAGATTCTCCAGAGACTTTCATACAATTCAACCAAGATCATTAAGATATGTATATTTACTTCCATGGGTATGACAAAAAAAAAGCCTGAGAGACTGATCTCCTGGGGTGCTCAATGAGATTATTAATTATATTTGCTAAGCTTAAAGCCACAGGCTTACATTTCTGGGTCAGATATTTATTTTAAGTGAGGCTAACATTCCACGGTAATGTTTTTAACCTCCTTTGTTTAAAATAAAAACAGAATACAAACCTGTTAAGCTCTGAAGTCTATTTCAAGTGAGACTTTTTTTTTGCAACAAACATATTGCAATTTGATGTGCTTTAGTATAGTTAACAGAGCACTAAATATTAAAACATATCTAGAACGTCTTAGTTTTTAATCTTGTCTTTCATTCTTAATTAGGCCAATTAAATAGCATACTATTAATTTTAATGGATTTTTAAATGTCTCACTATGGTTTTTTTTCTCAAATTCTTCCCAATGGACATGGCTTGACCTTGGCAAATTTCCAAATGTTGGCATCTGTAAGTGTACTGAAACATTGAGGCTTTTTTTAAAGTTTCACCCTTTTTAGGAAAGGTTTTCCAGAATGATTGTTCTGAAACTGATTAAAAAGTTTTTTTTGAAACAGAGCTATACTGGATTGCTGGAATAGATACTGCAATATTTTTGTTGAAGTAGTATTTTTGTTTTATGTAAATACAATAACTATATTAGCAAGTCTATACAGTCGTCTCAGGTTTACTCACTGTAAACAGCAATGTTTTGTAACATTTCAGTTACTTTCTATAGTATTATTTAAATGTTGTCTGCAAAACAAACATTTGAAGAATTGCAATCACTATCACCAGTTTGTTAAAAAGATTTGTAATACACGTTTGAAATTGATTTTTTAAAAATAAACTTTTCTATCCTACAAACAAGTCTATTTTGATCTTGTAATCTTCAATGGGAAATCTTTGACCTACATGTCATGTTTCTCTCCCTCATGTTATAGTTTAGCAATAGCCTGGTGAATTCAGGAGGAAGATCTCCCTGGCCAACCTGACCATCTGCAGGGGCTAACATCCCAAGTCCACTATGGGAAGCATAAGATGTGCCTAAACTTATAAAACAAATCAACAAGATTCCCCATTATATACTATCGGTTAAGTCCAATGAAAGAGGGATCAAGTGTGAACCTTGAGACCGAGTAAGAAATTATGAAGGTTAGAATATATTGGATATCAGTTGGGTGAGTTACCTCCAAATAAGTGAATGGAGCAGGCATGATTGAGATACAAGATTGGACAAAGCCAAGGCTTGAGCAGCATGGTGGCTCAGTGGTTAGCACTGCTGCCTCACAGTGCCAAGGACCCAGATTTGATTCCAGCCTCCTGTGTGGAGTTTGCAGATTCTCCCTGGGTTTCCTCTGGGCACTCAGGTTTCCTCCCACTATCCAAAGATGTGCAGCTTAGGTGAATGGGCTATGCTAAATTGCCCATGGTGTCTAGGGTGGGAAATACACAGTAGGGGGTAGGACTGGATGGGATGCTCTTTGGAGGTTTGGTGTGGACTTGAGAGGCCTAACGGCCTGCTTCCACACAGTAGGGACTCTACAATCAACTGTGGAGAAAAAAAAAAGTAATTGAGAGATCATCTTATAGAGGTAAAAATAATTATTAGAAAATTTCTTAAAAGTCAAGCTTCGACAGTATGAAAAGGAATACCAGTTTAAACTCAGAATGAGTTATGATATCAGTACATTCTTCACACATAAAAAAGGGTGATGAACACCCGGAATGTATTTCAGGTACAGGAATGGAGGGTAAACCGCCTCTCATTGTACAAGTATAATAAGATGTCACAAAGGAGCATCAACTAAAGATGACCATCCTCAATTCATACTTATCGAGCTTTGTCATCCAGTTTTGTTTCCCACCATCTCACTTAAGTGGCAATTCAAAAGAGAAGGTAGGTGGTGAATTGAACCGAAATATGTCTTCAGCCCAGGTCCGCAGTTAAAGGTGCTTAAAGTCAACACCAGTATCCCAGTTTCAGCCGGGTAATTCTGTGCATACTGGACGTGGGATGTGTTTTCTTAGTGGGGAAAAGGATGGGGAAGAAAACTACACCCGTCACAAAAAGAAAACATGTTTTGTATCAAGGAATTTCAACAGGTCACATGAAGAAAGGCAATCAATCATCTACAAACCTTCCACACATGTTGCAGCAACGCCAGTGCATTTGTAATGTGGAAGATTCCATTGTGCTCAATAATCTGCTACACATTACTTGCTGAGGTTGGAAAGCGAGAGACATAGAGCGTCAGCCAGAGAACGGTGTGTAAACTTATCGATAGATTTCCGAAACTATTCTTTATTCTATATTTCTTTAATGTTTTTCTTTTATTTGGGCATCATCGTACACATGAAATAAAGCCGGTCTCATTCCGCTAGGAGAAGCTTTATTTACTCGTGGTTAATCTAAGCTTGCTTTTTGCTCTATATTATTGTGTACCCATCCGAAATTCGCGTTAGTCTCGAGTAGGTACGTCCTAGCAGTTAGCTGACTGAACGCAAAATTCCTACCTCTCTTTCCTTCTTTAAAAGCTAACTTTTGACCTGGTTTCAAGTGGTGTTTAACGATGAACTGTCTTAGTACCTTTCACTACATTAAAACCACTACAGACGCAAGAACCATTTCCTTGCTACAAAGACCCACTTACTGCACCATTTTGCTAAAAAAAAAGCCACATAGTGCGAGGGTAGGCGAGAGAAAGGATGTCGGTTGTCTACTGAAGTTCGAGTATTCATTGATTTATGACAACTTATAAAGCTAACATGGACTTCAGACTGCACCTGACTTGTATTTCACATTGTGAGAAGTCTACGCAAGATTGACAGAATATTGGAGGGCACCCTGCTCACATTCCAGAAGGCCTTTTGACAAGGTGCTGTGCAGGAGGCTGCTAAACAAGAGCCCATGGTGTTAGGGGCAAGGTACTGGCATGGAAAGAGGATTGGTTGACAGCAGAAGGCAGAGTGGGAAGGGGGTCATTTTCAGGATGGCAGATAGTAATTTGTGGCATTCCACAGGGGGTCAGTGTTAGGCCATAACTGGTTATGTTATACATTAACAATCTGGACTAAGAAGCTGAGGGCATTGTTCCTAAATTTGCAGATTACACAAACATAGGTGGAGGGACAGGGAGTGTTGAGGAAGTGGGGAGGCTGATGAATTTGGACAGGCTAGGTCAGTAAGCAAACAAGTGGCAGATGGAATACAAAGTGGGAAAGTGTGCAGTTATGCACTTGGATAGGAACAATAGAGGTATAGATCATTTTCTAAATGGGGAAAAGCTTTGGAAATATGAAGAACAAAGGGGCTTGGGAGTCCTCGTTCAGGATTCTCCAGGTTAATGTGCAGGTTCAGTTTGCAGTTAGGAAGGCAAATGCAACATTAGCATTCATTTCTAGAGCAAAGATGTACTGCTGAGGTTGTATAAGGCTCTGGTCAAATTGCATTTGGGATGTTGTGAGCAGTTTTGGGCCCCGCATCGAAGGAAAGATGTGGGATGTGCTGGTGTTGGAAGGGGTCCAGAGGAGGTTTACACGAATGATCCCGGGGTTAATGGCTGGTCACATGAGTGGTGGTTAAGGACCCGGGTCTGTACTTGATGGATTTAAAAGGATAGGGATCTGATTGAAACTTACAAAATATGGAGATGTTTCCACTAATAGGAGAGACTAGAACCCCAGGGCACAGCCTCAAGATGAGGAGGAATTTCTTCAGCCAGAGGGTAGTGAATCTATGGAACTCATTGCCACAGAAGGCCGTGGAGGCCAAGTCATTGTCTGTGCTTAAGACAGAGATACGTAAGTTCTCGATTAGTAAGGGGATCAAGGGTTAAAGGGAGAAAGCAGAAAAATGAGGTTGAGAACATATCAGCCGAATCAAATGGTGGAGCACACTCGATGGGCCAAATGTGCACCTATATCTTATGGACATTCTTTCTGGAATGTTATTGGGACTAGATTCTGGACAACTGTGTCTCAATATATATTCTTAAAATTACATGGATAGCAAAGTGACATCAGCAGAGAAAACCTCATTGATCTTGAGGCTAACATTTCAGATGCAGAGATTGCAGGATCTGCTCTGTATATTTGGAATTAAAATAAAGTGCTAAAAATAAAGAGGTCCATGGCCAAGTTCAACTTAAAATCACTTTTGACAGCTTAGTAATTCTAACTAAAAAAAGTCCTTGGTCACCTTAAAAGTTTACTCAATTAAATGGCTTGCAGTACTACCTCAACAGTAAATTATAACTAGTCTATTGATCAAGAGAGGCAGCAAGATGATAGCAAATCACAAACATCCCTGGAAAAACAAAGTCAATTTGAAAGAGAGAGCTGCTGCCAGCATCTTTAATCTGCTCCGACTGAACATGACGTAGGATACCAAACCCCAGCTCTCCCCATAGTCAAAGCTGCATATTTTTAACATTTTACAGATGATTGAATTTCAACCAGTAGAAAATACCAAAACAAAATCCTTGTAGAGTGTACTAAAACAACTAACAATGTATTAGCAACACCTAACTGAGCATTAATCTGCTCTCTCGAAGAGACATGGGTGGTAGATATTAGTTCGCATTCTTTCCATTTTACAGGTATTTCATTGGTGCAACACAAATTATTTTCAGGGGCAGGGCCACACCTTCGCATAACTCAGTGACTGTGCAGTGGTCAATCTGACATCGACCCAGTCAGAACAATGACAGCAAATTAACAGATTAATAGTAGGGTTGTGGATATGACCATGAGTAAAATTACAGTGACAATGAGCAAGGCCAGGAGAAAATAATCTTTTGGGCTCTTATTGTTGACCACTAGCAAGAAACTGCTGTGAAGAGCAATGTGTGTGAATAACACGTTGTAACTGTACACACCCCTCAATCACAATAGCTTGGCAAAGAAGCTCCAACAACAATCTTCAGGACAGAAACCGGGTATTGGCTTGTACTCAAAAGAACTTTATTTTTTTAAAAATCTGAATTTAAATGATTCAAGTTCAGTGTGATGTCTTCTAATTAGTACTTTGCAGCCCTAGAGTTAAATGTCACCAACGGCAATTTGTACAACTGAATGCGCTAACTCAGTAAATTTGGGAGCTGGCGTGAAATAAACCATCAGCTTGTCACAGGGACCCGACCGGTTCCCATGTCTTTCTGGAAAAGGGAATACCACCCCTTCCCAGTTTAGGCTAAATTGACTCAGTTTCAAACTAAGTGGTTGGCTGAAATAAATGTTGCTTGTACTGATACAGTAGATTTTGAGCAAGGGGATGGATGGGACAATGACAAAAGGAAAGCATCTGATGGGAGCGGCTCAGACATGAGAAGAAAACTAGAAAGCAGTGAAGGAGAACAGAGTACAATTGACAAATGGAAATTCTGTTGGAGAGAACAGCAGAACTTCAAGTTGGTTTTTCTGGAAGTACAGTGAATTAGACACAAATCATTGAGCTTGTTGGACCTCAAAAAAAACGATAAGATTAAGGTCTCTTTTGAAGTCACAGCACTATTCTCATCCATTGACATACCTAGCCAGAGAAACACTTGCCATATTACTGGATGCAGCAGAAGCGGCGACTCCAAACAGCTCCATCAGCAAGGACGACATACTAGACTACTGGACCTATGTCTCACCACACACTTCATTTTTAATGGCCAAATATACAAATCAATGGCACACCTATGAGGTCACCCATCTTGGGGCATACTGCAGCGGCAGTCATGCAAAGACTGGAACGCACTACTCTTCCCCCTCATACAGCCAAAACTGTGGATCCAATACGTGGACGATACATCTGTCATCGTTAAAGGCACCAAGTTAGAAGAGACACACCAACTCATCATCAATGTTTTCACAGGGATCATATTTACGAGAGAAGAGGAAGAGAAAAATCAACTCAGATAGCAAGAGCTGCAGATGCTGGAGTCAGAGACAATATAGTGTGGAGCTGCAGGAACACAGCAGGCCAGGCAGGATCAGACAAACAGGAAAGTTGATATTTCAGATCGGGACCCTTCGTCAGAAATAGGGAGGTGGAAGAGAGCTCAGAAATAAATAGAGGGGAGGGCTGGGGAAGGTGGGTGGATGGTGATAGGTGAGTGCAGGTAGGGAGTGATGGGGATTGGTCAGTGGGATGGATGGGGCGGATAGGTGGGAGAGAAGATGGACAGGTTGTGACAGGTCAAGGAGACGGGGATGAGAGGGAGGGTTGGGGATGAGATGAGGCCGGGGGTGGGGAGATTTCAAAAACTGGTGAATTTCATGTTTAGGTGATCGGGCTGTAGGCTCCTGAGGCGGAATATGAACTGTTGCTCCTCGTGTTATTGTGACACTGGAGAAGGCCCAAGATGGACATGTCACCCAGGGAGTGGGAGGGGGAGTTAAAATAGTTGGTGACCGGAGGGTGTTGTCGTTTGTCGCAAACAGAGTGCACATGCTCTACGGAACGGTCTTCAAGTCTACGCTTCGTCTCACTGATGTACAGGAGGCCACATTGGGAGCAGCAGATACAGTAGACCAAGTTGACAGATGTGCAGGTGAACCCTGTCTAATATGGAAAGTTTGTATTGTGCCCTGAATGGAGATGAGGGGAGAGGTGTATGGGCAGGTGTAGCACTTCCTGCAATTGCAGGGAAAGGTGCCGGGTGTGGTGGGGTTTATGAGGAGTGCGGAGCGGATGAGGGAGTCACAGAGAGAGTGGTCCCTATGAAAGGCAGGTAGGGATGGGGAGAGAAATATCTCTTTGGCTGTGGGGTCGGATTGTAGATGGCAGAAGTGGCAGAGAATGATAAGCTGGATGCGAGGTTGGTAGGGTGATATGTGAGGACAAGGGGGATTCTGTCTTTATTTTTGTTGGGTAGAATGCATGACCAACAGGAAGTTCCAAACTACAGTCTATAGGAAGGCAACCCACACTGAACAAATCCTTAATTTCCACAGCAATCACCCCAACATCCACAAACAAAGTTGTGTTAGGATACTATTCATACAGGCCACAACTCACTGCAACATGCCAGAACTACACAGGAAGGAGAAACAGCACCTACACAAGGTACGTGCTAACAACAGATATTCCAATAACTTCATCCGCAGGTGCCTACTCGATAGACAATGCCAAGAGGGCACAGTATGGCCCAATGCACTGGCCACACTACCCTGTATCAAGAACATATCAGAACTGACAACGAGACTCCTACAACCACTAGGAATCATGGTAGCACACAAACCCACAGACACACTACAACAAACACACACAAGGACCAAAGACCCAAAACCAATGACATGCAGTAACAATGTAGTTTACAAAATACCTTGCAATGACTGCAACAAACATTACCAGAAGGAAACTGGCCAGACCAGAAGGAAACTAGCCATCAGGATATACGAACACCAGCTAGCAGCAAAAACAACACAACAAACTTTCCCCCATCTCAGTTAACTCGGATAATGAAGACCATCAATTTAACTGGGACAACATGACCATCTTAGCTCAAGCCAACCACAGAATTCCTCGAGGCCTGGCTTTCAACCCGTAATGCAATCAACAAACATGTAGAATTAGACCCCATATATAAACCCATGCAGAACAGAACCGGAAATGACACAACCTAACTTAGCAGACCGGATCATATAAATACCAAGCAGACTAGAACAACATTGCTTCATCAGAGGCCTCACTGAAGTTGTTACCTAGCGTTGTGACGAAACTTGTATACGATAACCAGCTAACAACTTCATCCACAACCCGAGCTACAAATCTTCGCAAGAACCTTAAGACACAAATCATTATATCTCAACCTTTCATCAGAATGGCGAAAAGTTAATCAGCCTGAAATGTTAATACTTTCTCTCTCCACAAATGCTGCCTGACTTACTGACTATTTCCTAGCATTTTTTGCTTTTGTTTCAGCTTTCCAGCATCAGCAGCATTTTGCTTTTTGATTCGTATTGGCAATTGCTAGTGACCAAATGTTGAAATTCCACATGTGGTTGAGCAGTACCAGTGAAGGAATAATACAAGTGTATAACATAGGATTACACTAGATACATGGTACAAATATATTTCTGTGTGGAGCTCCAAGTTAAATTCCCATGGCCACAGTTATAATGAGAACTAGGTGTATGAGACAGACATGCTTTAATTGCAGCCTCTTGCTCTTTAGAAAGCTTAAGGTTTACATCACTTCTCCATCTGATTTGCAGTGTTAATTTCTAGGCTCCACCCAACACAATGGTTCTGCTTCCCATATTGCCATGAAGTGTTCTTTTTAACGCTAAACAATATAATTAGGTTATATATAAAGTAAAAGGATATAACAGGAATTTTAAAAGGGGATTAAATTACATCTGCATAGCTAGCAGAGTTGTTACTTGCTCTTAACTTCATCTGAAGAATTACACTCCCTGGTACAATGCTACCAGAAATTAAGCATTGTTAGTTTGAGAGTAGTTCTGAGCTCAGTATTGGTACCTGAGGTCTGCTTGCGAAAGTATTCTAAATCAACATCAATCATCTACCTTCCAGTTTTTTTTTCCTGACACATGAAAATTGATAGATAATTTGGATACCATTAGCAAGGTACAGACTTGCTCAAGGGAAGGGCCTGGCAAAGATACATTAATATTTCCCCATGTTAAATCAGGTCACTCAGATTTGATGCACAAATCCAATTTCACTGACTTTAAACATCGCAACATGCTTTGTACTCAAGAATAAATCAGCAACTTTGTATTCAAAAGTAATGTACAAATTTCTGTATTAGCACCAGTTATGTAGAATTTAAGAAACATTTTTAAAAAGCTGAAGTTTTAAGTAATGTTCCAATCAGGTTAACAGCAATTTGATTGCAGTTGCAATGTTTTTGTTGGGTGGTCTACCAGCAGACAACTAATCAATCATATGGGTGGACAAGTCACACGAAGGTGCAACGTGTCTCCAATGTCATGGTTCTTTAACAACTGACCTTAAACTGGATTTTTATTTGGTTTGACTACTCGACAAAAGAATAATGACATGGTGATTTTGGCAGCTCAGCCTGCATTAAGCCTGCACGACTTGTTATGGTCAATCAGATACACAACTACAGGTCCATGGGGTCACTCTGGGTGAAAAGTAATAGTCCTTCTGGGAGTGGAATTTTCTCTTGTTCATTAAGTTATCAAAATCTAAAGTCTTCAAAAAACAAACCTTTTACTTAGCAGATTATTAGCTTTAAAAATACCTTGGCTGCGAAACCCTGCCTTAAGCTTTAATTTGTACATAGTTTTGCTTCCTTCATATTAAAGTGGAACACCAGGTACTTAAAATTTCATCAAGTACACAACAATGCTCATGCAAGAATGCATTCAAAATGAAACTTCGGCAAGACTTAGTGATTATTTCGCAAAATTTACACCACAAATGGTGATCAGACATTTACAATTACTCTCATTCAAAAATCAACTTCATAAAGTTAACAAGAATATTTAAAGTGAAGCAGATGATAAACATAAATGGCTTAATCCGATTTAGAATACTTTTCTTTTAATCTGGTAAATGTTCTTAGGTTTTCAGTTCCACTGCACCATTACTGGTAGAAACTTCCACAGATCGGGCTGTCCCTTGTGCATAAGCTTGCTGAAAGGGGATTTGCTCCACTGAAATGCTGGAACTTGATCCCATGTTGGACCACTCACTGCAATCATCTGGTAGTTTTTGTGTAACTCAAACGAAGTAACCTAGGTATTAACACAAGTCACAGATCATCAAATCAGCTAATGCTAGCTTTAGAAAGCCATCCTGGTTACCATAGTGGGCCTGCAGACAGGTGTTGCCAATTAGAAATGGTTTGATTAGATCTAAAAGAAGAGAGAGTATGTTTGTGGAATATAAGCAGTGTTAAGTAAATCAAAGTTGTATTTCAGACGATTGAATACTTTTGGTGTGCAATTGTCAGTAGGTATTCAATAATCAAATGTAATGACATGACAGTTAAATCTATCGAGTTTGTCAAAAGAAGAATGCTAAAGATAGAAACTCAATACGATGCGCCGGACTGTGCCATAGAATTTTAGATAGTGCACAGTATCTTTAATGCCTTCCTGGACAAATAAATGGTACCATGGATAAGAAATGCAACCATATTTCAGTGTGGCACTAGAATATCAGACTTAATTCTACACTCAGATCATGTGTAATTCAAATTCAGAATTTTTTGACTCTGTGCTACCAAGTGAGTTAAGTTTGTACTGTTCTTCAATGGGTGATGGTCAAACATAGTGGTAAATGTGACATAATTAAAGGAAGAGGTAACAATACAATTACTGACCAGTTAGTTCCTCATTTCTTTCACTGTTTAGTTAATTGTTGAAATGTTAATCTTAACATGTTCTTTGTAAATTATTCAAACATCCATTTTAGGAAAGAAGTTAAAGTTAGGATGCCTTCTCTAAGTTTCTGTGTGTTGTCCAGCAATTGTGCAAGATATCAGAGACCAGCAAATTGCAAGTTAAAGCATTCTATCTAGTGCATGTTTTTTTTTGGGCCGGAGAGGTGGTGGGGAAGAGAGAGGAATAGGGAAGTGAAAAATTACCAAATTACCAAAACTACTTTTGGTCTGAATTAATTTTTTTTGTGTAGCAATAAAGCAAAGAAAAACTGAAATAATGTATACTATTGGAATTGCATGACTCGGCAGTAAAGCATTTGAATAAAAAGAGCCAAAATGTTTCACGTGGAACCCATTATTAGAATTTCTGCTGTTCCTATGAAAGGTCATACCCACAGTTTTAAATGATCTCCCATTCAGATGCTGTTCCCACCTAATTCTTTGTGCTGTACAATATAATTTTTAAAAAAATCTCACCTTCATGTCTGTACCACCATGTGAACGCTGTCCTAATGCTGAAAACGGGTAAGTTCCATTGGCTGGATTTAGATCAGATCTAGCAGAAATTGTATTCTCACCGTTGTATTTAGGATTGCATTGCACACATTCGGAAAGAGGGTCGTTCTTAAAGTTATTATACCTGACAAATACAAACTAATTAATTAACCTGAAAAGTGAAAACATGAAAACTTAATATTGAATATGTTATAAAACCTCCAAGCAAGCAAAAGCCTTCCGAATGGAGACTGAAACTTGAAGATTTTCAGCACAATTTCTGCACTGCAGCAGTAACCACACTTGAAAAGTATTTCATTGGCTACAGAGAGCTTTGCAACATTTGAAAACATTAAATAAAAATGTTTGCATTTTTTAAATTAGATTGGGTGGGTGCCAAGAGGGGCAGATAAAACCAAGATGTAATAATTAGGTTATTTGTGATTAATGTCTGTCGATCAAAGAATTGCAAAGTGATGGAAGCAGAGTACTAAATTTGAGATCCAGGAAAAGAAAGAATTGGCAGCATGCTTAACCAGCAAAGAAACAGCAAAGTTTGTAAACAGCATATTTGGTTCTAGAAACCTTCTCCCCTGGTTGGAATAGAGTATACTTCTTTTAGTACTGCACTCTGTAAAAGCAGTTAAAAGTCCCTACTATTTGCTTGAAATATTGTTGCTTTTAAAGTTTTGGCAAAGATCTGTAGTTCCGATTGTGGGTGAGGTTGTTGACTTACTCGCCGAGCTGGCTTGTTCTTGTTCAGATGTTTCATCACTATGCTAGGTAACATCATCAGTGGAGCCTCCGATGAAGCGATGTTATTCTACTCCGCTTGGAATTTATACTGTCTGGTCCGTTAAGGTAAGTACTGACATTTCCAGTTTTGATCTGTATGGGTTTGTATATGGGGTCCAGTGCTATATGTTTGTTGATAGCACTACAGGTGGAGAACCATGCCTCTAGGAATTCCCGTGCATGTCAATGTTTGGCTTGAGCTACTATGGTTACCTTGTCCCAGTTAAACTGATGGCCTTCATTGTCTGAGTGTACCGATATTAAGGACAGCTCATCCTACCGCTTTGCTGCTAGTTGATGTTTATGTATTCTGATGGCTAGTTTCCTTCCCATCTGTAGGAAAACATATAGAATTGGATCCCATATACAAACCTGTACAGATCAAAACCGGAAATGACACTACTCCCCATAACGGACCGGACAGTGTAAATTTCAAGCGCAGTAGAATAACATAGATTCCTCGGAGGCTCCACTGATGATGTCATCTAGCATGGTGACGAAACGTCTAAACAAGAACAAGCCAGCTCAGCGAGCAAGTCAACAACCTCATATTATTTCCTTCATTTAACAAATGGTCATAATTAAATCTTACATTTTCTGTTAATGAACATTATCTTTAACCTAGAAGAAAAAGGCATTGTGCTCAATGACATGAAATCAATAAGAACCTGAAAATTAAAAAGCATAATCATGGTGCATTAAGGTTTTAAAGTCAATATCCTATGAGTTGACAATGAAATAAATCAAACAGAACCTCAAACTGTGTCTAATTTTGTGCCCATATCCTCATTTCAGTAAATCCTATCACTCAGCAAGGTAAGCTGATGTGCCTCAAAAATTGTAAGTACCACTTTTCTAAATGTTCTTACTTTTTGTTCTAACTTAGGAGGAATGCAAACCAAAAAAGGTCACAGTCCTTCATAGTCATACAGGTGGATCAAAGAATTTTGCTGTTGCCATTACAGTGGCATAGGTCCCAAATACAAAACGTCTGAACAGGAGAATTAAAAAAATAATAACGGCAGAACAGGAATAGACTAAATACAAAATGTTCTGCTTCAAACTGTAGGGTTCTCGAAGTGGAATCCTGTAAATTGAGAAGTAATCTTCATATAAATAGCTATATAGAATTTACAGCATTGAAACAGACTATTCGGCCAAACTGGTCAATGCCAGTATTTATGCTCCACATGGTATTCTTCTCACTTTACTTGATCTAACTATTAGCATAACCTTTGATTCCATTTACCCTTGCATATTTATTATTTCTTTTGAGTACAGCTATGGTATTTGCCTCAGTCATTTCATTTGGTACTAAGTTCCACCTGCTAATCACACTATGTAAAGTAATATTTCCTGAACTCCCAATTGGATTTATTATCAACTATTTTATAATTATGGCTGCTAGTTTTGATTTCTCTCACAAATAATTAATTTGATATGGCAGTTCCAATCCACGAATGGAAAATGTCATCTCTCTCTGAGTCTTAATTGTTTGGCTTGCAAATGTTATAAAATTAATAATTTCAATCAGCTCCCAGTTGACACCTTTATCTGAACACATGGTGCTCGAATTCAAGAAACTAAAGAGGTATGTGTGTCTGGCATTAAAATAAGCTCTGAATTTTATGTTAGCTAATAAGTCCAATATTTGAGCATATTTTCGTACAAAAATCAACACAAGGAGGGTGCTGACTAATGGAAATTAATAGAACATATTTTAGAACCTTATGAGCTTAATAACATCAATACAAATTTTCACAGTAAAACGTACATAATATTGTGGATAAATCCAAGATAAATTTGATATACATTTTGCTCGTGAAAGCTTATTTCAGACCAAGGCTATTAACATAAATTGTGTCTTTTCAAGGGGTGATCTCATTATTTTAGTCTAAAATAGAATCTAGTAATTCAAACGGAATGATCTTGTCTAATTTCTTAAAATGCACAAAAAAGTACTCGCTTGTTATTTAGGACTCCGTTTCAGGCAAATAACAGAATTTAAAAATCAATATACTCTGAGGTTTATCCAAGTCCTTTATGTTAGTGTAATGTCCTGCAATTTAGCTGAACCTCACTATGTTTACTAGTTTAAAAGATCAACACAATGTGGAACCTTTATCCTGACCGATGTAGCTCCATGTACCTCATTAATTTAATCATTGAATCCATGTCTGTAACTAAAGTCTGATTTCGACGGAATATCAGGGCTCGAGGAGTCTTATCGTAACTGAACCAGTCTCCAAATTCCTTAACGAGGGCTGCTTTACCACTGGCATTAAAAATCTCTTCAAAATATCTACAGAAATGGAAGGTTTAAAAAAGTATGAATAGTAGTTATCAAAAATAAAAACTTCAATTTCATTCAGTAAAAATATTTACTTACAGAATGTCACCCACTTTTCTGCTCCTATGGGTCTTCCTAGCATTAGCATTATAGCACACAGAGAGATAAGTATCTAAATTTCTCTGCCATTGCTCTGGTCAATTCAGAGCACCAATGAACCAGGGACAACATTTCCTTTGATTTCCCCAACTTTCCATTACTTGGCCCATAGCCTTGAATGTTATGATGTGTCAAGTGCTCATCCATGTACATTTTAAAGGTTGAGGTTTCCTGCCTCTACTACCTTCCCAGGCACTGCATTCCAGATTCCCACCATCCTATGTGAAAAATTGTTTCCTCAAATCCCCTCAAAATCTCCTGCCCTTCAACTTAAAATTATGTCCCTCATTACTGATCCTTCAACTAAGGGGAACAGTTGCTTTCTATCCACCCTGTGCATACCCCCCACTCCCTCACAATCTTATATACTTCAATCAGGTCTGCTTAGCATTCTCTGCTCTAAATAAAACAATCCAAGCCGATTCAGCCTCCAGTAGTGTTCTCCAGTAAGGGCAAAATTCAAACCAATGTGGGCAAAGAAGCAAACTCCGGCTAATGAGGAATCTGTTTCTATTAGCTATTATTCTAGCACTCTGAAGTGATGCACCAATACAGTGCCAACTTCTATCATGGAATATCTCAGTCAATCATAAGCCATTAAGAAAATTCCTACAGATATAAAACGTCAGTGCAAATATAACCAGAGTATGTGAATACGAATAATTGTGACAAGAACATTAGTGATGTGAATATTTCAACCAATTACACATCCTGTATATACTTGAGTAAAAGTTGATCTCATGTAAAAGCCAACACCTATTTTTGGCCAAAAAATCTGGAATTTTCCATATCTTGTAAAAGCTGACTCCTAGTTCTTCACAGATAACAGATCAACATTTGTGAGCCAAAGGATTATCCTGACCCTAAATGTTACAATGAGGAAATGATTTCTTTTCTCATGCTGTGTGTTTTGATGTACAATTCACACCAATTTGGCGCAAAAATTTAAGATGCATCAGGTCAGAGTCAGATGACAGCGTCCCCTTGTGTGCAGCTCAGCTGAGCTCAGTTCTCCTGCAGCACTCGTGGAATAGTCATATACCCAGTTGAGGTTTTGAAATTTCTTCATTTTGTGTAAAAATGCCCTCTAGAAAAAAACAAGTATGCAGCAGCATTTAAACTGGAAGTTATTGAAGTTGCAGAAAAGATAAATAACTGTGCAGCAGCAAGAGAATTCTGTGTTTTGGAGAGACTGGAGAAAGATATTGAACCAACTTCAGACAATGCCAAAATGAAAGTGTGCCAACAGAGGTAAACCTAGTAAGTGTCCACAATTGGAAAAAATAGTTTGAGTGGGTACTTGAAAATCGTCAAAATGGAAAATGTGTTAGTCGTGAAGCCATCCGAATCCATGCACGAAACAAATCAAAGAAGGATGGAATTTCAGATTTTAAGTCAAGATGATGCACAAGATTCATAAATAAGATTTGCACAAAAGCTGCCTGCTGAACGAGAAGATATTACATTTTCACCAGTTTATAATCAGAAATCGGCAGGAGGGCTAATTTTAAGAAGTTAATTAATTTTAATTTGTTTAATTTAAGATGTACCATGTAATTGTAATTTAAAGCCATATTCTAATTTTACTTTACTTTTTGTATGTATGATTAAAATCTTTACTGTTTCATTTTGTTTTTTTTTGTCTTTATCCAGTAATTAATGTAATTCATTGTGTTTTATTGTTTATTCATTTAGAGATCAATTGGGCTTCTGCTAATGATACAGTATTCTGGACAGTAGCATGAATTTCAGCCCCTCAAAAGTAGTCGCCATGTAATAGTCGACCCCATAAAACTAACCTTAAAAAAAAGTATAAAAATTTGACTTTTATACGAGTATATACAGCATATACATGAATGTATATAGCGTTATTTACTCAAATTGCTACAACAAAATCAGACAGCACTACTCCAATTATGAGATAGTAAGAACTGCTGATGCTGGAGTCAGAGATAACAGTGTGGAGCTGGAGGAGCACAGCAGGC